AGAAACAAGTGGCCCTATCAGACCATCAATTGCACTTTATGATATACAATAATGAAAAAGTAATAGACTTAATAATAAGAATGAAATATTAAATATTTTCAAACATGAACTGTGTGTTTCTGCAGAAAGGAGTATGACACTGAAAAATGCTTCTCAGCGATAGTAAAAAACTGTAATTGAGCCAAACCTGTCAAGTCCGAATATGACCAAAGACACTTTATGTTGCTTTTTTTTAATTGGTCAATATGTAGCAATATAACTGCAATATGCTATTTTGTAATCATTGTTATTTTGTAGCACTTTTTACTTTATTTGCAAAAAAAGTGCTTTACACAAGAGATGAGCAAAACACTGAAAAATCTAGAACACTACAGTTGTGAAAAGATGAATGAAATAAAAGCAATTAAATATTACACTATACAAAGTAAAGAGATCCAGTGACTAGGCATACTGTACGCTGAACCAATTTTGTCCATTTTGAGCAGCCCTAGTATGTGTGTGTGAGCAGACCTGTTATACTATAAACTCATCTATATTCTAGCACATTGAGCAGTGGGGCTGTAGCCTGTGCTGAACCTGACTCATCAGAATTACAGTCAGGCTTCAGCCTTTCTGATGCTCAGCATACTCTTTCTCTCTGAGTCTGCACTCTGCAGTTTCTCCACAGACAAAATCTTCAATTAGGGAGCCCTCCCTGGCCCTGGAGATGAGGAAGCTGATGTGGCTGATCTCAAACTAAGTTTAAAGGTGACCTTAATTTTGGAAGTACTGTTTGGATCAACACCAGGGGAGGGGAAAACACTGCTATGCGACGGTATGTGAGGTGAGAAATAAAAGCATATTCATTTCAGCTTGCCGGACCTGTGACCTCAGGATCTGACCCATACTGCAGCAGGGCACTCACTAAAAGCTCTTAGGCATGGGAAAGCTCTGCTCACACACTGCAGTAAACAGTGTACACGTTTGGTTGACTGATACCAGTGCAGAGTGGTATTCAAACACATTTGAATATTTATTATCACACATATACTATCAAACAAGGGTCATGCTGTTTATGACTGTGCTTGTAAAATTTGTTTGTTTGTGTTTTTATATGGGTCCACATAACGATTTATTGATTATTATTCATAATAAAGTCGAGTAGAAATTATTTTTTTCTTTCCATCTTGTGTGCACTAGCGTTCTGTGCTCCGATCTGTTATCAACATTTTCATTCCTTGTTTTACAACCCCAATTCCAAAAAAGTTGTGTAAAATGTAAATAAATATAAATAAAAACAGACTGCAATGATTTGGAAATCTCATAGATCCATAGTTTATTCACAACGTAAAACACATATCAGATGTTGAAAGTGAGACATTTTACCATTTCATGAAAAACATTAATTCATTTAGAACTTGATGGCAGCAACACATCTCAAAAAAGTTGGGACAGGGCTATGTCTACCATTGTGTGGCATCCCCTCTTCTTTTAACAACAGTCTGTAAACATGTCTGGATGGGAGCATATGTTGTTCTAAAACCACTATATATTGTTCAGCATTGATAGTGCCTTTCCAGATGTGTAAGCTGCCCACGCCATAGGCACTAATGCAACCCCATACCATCAAAGATGCAGGATTTTGAACTGTGCACTGATGACATGCTGGATGGTCCCTCTTCTCTTGAATCTGCAGGAACTATGTCCGTGGTTTCCAAAAAGAATGGCAAATTGAATTATCTGACCACAGGACAGTTTTCTATTTTGCCTCAGTCCATTTTAAATGAGCTTTGGCCCAGAGAAGACAGTGGCATTTCTGGATCGTGTTGACATATGGCTTGATTTCCAGTCCAGAATCATGTGAGTTTTTAATGCACTGCCACCTGAGGGCCCGAAGATCACAAGCATCCAATATTGACCATCGGCCTTGTCCCTTGCGTACATGGATTTCTCCAGATTCTCTGAATCTTGTGATGATATTATGTACTGTAGATGGTGGGATATCTAAAGTCTGTGCAATTTTACGTTGAGGAATGTTTTTCTGAAATTGTTCAACAATTTTTGACACAGTTTTTCGCAGATTGGCAAACCTCTGCCCATCGTTGCTTCTGAGAGACTCTGCTGCTCTAAAATGCTCTTTTAATACCCAGTCATATGAGTTAGTTGCAAATTGCTCCTCCAGCTGTTTATTAGTACCACTTACTTTTCCAGCATTTTGTTGCCTCTGTCCCAACTTTTCTGAGATGCGTTGCTGCCAACAAGTTCTAAATAAGTTAATTTTTCATGAAATGGTAAAATGTCTCACTTTCAACATCTGATATGTTTTCTATATTCTATTGTGAAGAAATATTGCTCTATTAGATTTGCAAATCATTGCTTTCTGTTTTTATTTACATTTATTTACATTTTACACAGCATCTCAACTTTTTTGGAATTGGGGTTGTACATTACTTATTTCATTATTTATCTTTTTTACATTTATTTTTATTTGTTTTTTAGTTGAATTATGTTTAAAGTTCATAGAAATCCACTGTTAAAAAAAAACAGTTTTTGTAAAAGTTCAATAAATGCATAACGTTTCTTAAGTCAATGAGTAATAATGTTAAATAATATTGACCAAAATAGTTGTGATTATAATTTTTGCTTCACTCGAGCAGCACTACTGTCTCATATCGCCAGTGTGCTTTCTTCTGTCATACAAGCAGTTGAATGAGTCGTTCACAAAAACAGTTTGGTCGCCTGAATGTACGTATGACACATCATCACATCATCAGACTGATAGAATAGGTAAAGCAGCTCACACCCCTTTACCATCCACATGTTTAGTATCTGTGGATGAAAAGTAGATCTCATTCTGATTTGTACTCTATCGCCCTGTTGAGTACAGAGTGTTTTAACTGTGGTAAGCTTCTAATGGTGGCCATCATTATGGTATTCATTATGGTATATACATTGTAAACTCTTCATTCTTTATTCATATTGCTCTTGTTGTTGTTTTGCTATCTGGTGTCCAGAGGAGGATGGGTTCCCCTTTTGAGTCTTGGTTCCTCTCAAGGTCTCGTCATCTTGCTCTCAGGGAGCTTTTCCTTGCAACTGTTGCCCTTGGCTCTCTCACTTGGGGCTTGGACCCGGATTTCTGTAAAGCTGCTTTGTGGTAATGCCTGTTGTCAAAAACTCTGTACAAATAAATTTGAATTGAGGTATTTGCTTTTGTGAAACTATTGTTGCAAAAGGCCAGTATTGGCTGCACTATGTAGCCTCAACAAACCTTCTAAATAATCACAAAATAGTTTACTCTGTGCATACCGATCAGACTGTTTCTGTTGGAGGTTGGATGAATTAAGGCATTCACATCGCTCAACAAAAACACAGACTGTTTTGGTCGAAATAATGCAGGCCAGTCTGTAACTATGTCACGCGGTTGATTCACCAATCTTGTTTCAACCCTTTTTCATTGCAGCCATAAAATGTCAGTTCTGTCTGTTTTGGAGGTATAATTCAATGGAAATGTGTATGATTTACAGAACTGGAAGCAAACCGGATATTCATCCTCTTAGATGAGCAAGCAAATTAACATTTATGAAAGTTTTTATTGTGTTTAAATGCTATTTTAATTGTGGCAGTTACACATCATTTTTGATAAGTGAAAGCTGTGGTTGTGCTGTATTTTATTATTTATTTATGTAATTTATGTTTTCATAGCTGTGTTGAAGAAGCACAAATTGATCTTTTCAAATCAGATTTGATCATATGCGGTCCTAGTTCGGAAACGTATCTAATTTGTGGCAATGTGATCTTGGTGAGAACCGTCAGATCAGAATTCATGTGTTTTTTTTAAAATGCACATGCACCATAATTCATCTTTATGTGGCAGCAGTACCTAACCTGAAGATAGTGCCAGTAAACCCTTCAAAAGCAACGCATCTGACCCTCTTCACCCTTTGTCATACTCTAATAATGAACAGCTAAGAGCAGTTCAGAGCAGATTGTCTTTGTAACAAAGGCTTGGTCTGCTGGTTGTTTTTTTTATTTATTTATTGATTTATTTATTTTAAACAATGTCTTATAAAAGTGTTTAGTAAAATGATTATAAAGGCAGGTTATCATTTAACAAAAAGAAAGAACACAAACATGAAAAATACTTAAAAAGGGGGGTTACAAGTGCACATAATGTTCAAATGTTCACTCTCGGTTATTCAGTTGCAATGCAATCCATATCTTTTCAACTGTTCCTCTTTTGCCTTTTCAGGATATGCAGGCTAGATATATATAAACAGAAGCAAAATAAGATAATTTAATAACCAGAGAATAAAGTCAGCAGTCTTCCTCTTTTCAAAAGAATTTGGGAAAACCTCCTCTCTATCTTTAAATTCCTCCCTTAATAAAACAAGTTATTGTTTCTAATGCAAGGCTTGATGTCATTTCTCTTAACTTCTGTGACACACCAGGAATTTCTTCCTTTTTCCAGGAACAAGCTATTACACGTTTGTCTTCAAGGAGACCTAGGGAGATCAAGCCCGATTCTTTGTTATTAAATCTAAGGTCATCTGTGAGTATATGAAGAATACAGTTTAGGATTAAGGGGCGTCATTGTGTAATCAGTGAAACTGAATGAATTACCCTTTTCCATAAATCCTGTACCACAGAGCATTCCCACATGCAAAGGAATAGTATCCCTTTATTCAGTTTGGTTCTGTTCTCAACTCTCCCCTTTCAATCCTTATTGCTCACTAGCAGCTAAACACGGAGTCACAACATTTCACACACAGAGAGCCAATAGTGTCCCAGTTAATCTGATAACAGAGTTACAGGGAAATCATTTTTTATATATTAATTAAAAATATCTGAGTCAAAGGGGGCTGCAGGAAGAGGGTAATACATTTTAAGGTGCATCACAATCGTAATATGCTGCAATATATTAGTACTAGCATTTTATCTATATCATTCAGCATACTCCTAGAGCAGCATAAATTGACAATGCTGGTGTATGATCGAAAAAATGACTGTAATGTCTCCCTCAGGTTCTCGTGGAGACATCAGCTGAGGGAGTTTAAGAGTGAGTTCCGTGTGGTTGCTGTGGATATGAGGGGCTACGGGGAGTCCGACCTGCCCCCCTCCACCGAGTGCTACCGGCTGGACTACCTTGTTACTGACGTCAAGGACATTGTGGAGTATCTGGGTAAGCAGAGTGAGCTTCCTTATCTCTCTCTCTCTCTCTCTCTCTCTCTCTGTCTCTCTCTCTCTCTCTCTGTCTCTCTCTTTCTCTCCCTCTCCTCATATTTCTATTTTAAATCCGAACACGTTAGAGGAGCTGATAAAGGCTATTGTAGCGGTAAATGGTAATTTAGTGATAAGCAGTCCCTGCTGTATTATGACGCTCTGTTTAGCTCATATGACCTTGAGCTCACAACTGTCAGTGAGCTGAAGAAGGTGAGTATCAACAGTGAGCATCAGTATTAATTAACAGGATTTAGTCATATATGAGTAGTTTTCACAATCTGTATTAAAAAAAAACCAAAACATTAATTTTACTCATTTGAAAGCCTTGTCTTCTTATACTCTTTAAGGTCAATGCTAAAAAGTGCCATTTCTCATTTATTAATGTGTGTCAGTGTTGTTGTTGCATCTGTTTGATCTATGAAGAATGTGGCCTAACAAAGCCAAAAAAAAGGTATTTTATTGTTTGTGTCAAAACTACCATTTTCAGCAAGGAAGCAAATGAACAAGAATGCACTGCACACTTCAAATCAATAATAAGAGTTTCCACTCTGTAAAAATTAAAAAGTCAAGTCAACTTGAAATTTTAAATCAACCTTCTGCATATGTTTGTCAAATTACATTATTGTTGTTTTCACACCTAATTTGTTTGCAGAAGTCCCAGAGTTTGGGTTTTGTGACATTGCATCCTTTTCATTTGGTTCAGTTAGTTTCACTTTTCAGTGGTAAGGGCACCAAATTACACATGTGGGTGTTCATTGATTGGTCAGGAATTTGATGATGACACATTGAAAGCCCTCTGTTATTTTGACCTTTGCCTCCATTAATCCAGGGAACAACCTGATATTTTTTTATCATAATAATGACCTAATATTTTATCATGGTTTACAGCATTATCATGATATTGTATTAAAAAAAATCTTTTAAGATTTTAAATGTCATACAGATATGTTCTGAATGTAGTGTTTTCATGTGTGTACATGTGCAGTATTTAAAATAAAATACTCCTAAAATGATGTAAAGCTATTTACAGTTAGGACTGAAATTAAGAACCCTGCCACAGAGCACCAAGACTTTTATCCGGAACTGTGAAGCTGCTCCAAAATAAACAGATTAAAATAAAGCATGGAAATTACACCTACTACCTGTAATATGCCACCATGAAAATTGCATGTCCTACGTTTTATCCTATACAGTGCGATGGTCTGGGGCTGCTTTGCTTCTGCAGGACTTGGACGACTTGTCACAATTGATGAAACCATGAATTCTGCGCTCTATCACAAAATCCTGAAAGAGAATGTCCGTCCATCAGTTTGTGACCAAAAGCTCAAGTGCAGTTGGGATATGCAGCAGGGAAATGATTCGAAACACACAAGCAAGTCCACCTCTGAATGGCTCAAAAGAAACAAAATTAAGGTTTTGGAGTGGCCGAGTCAAAGTCTTGACTTTAATCCAACTGAGATGCTGTGGCCTTAAATGGGCAGTTCATGCTCGATCTCCAATCTCCAAATCTCCAATGTAGCCAAATTAAAACAATCCTGCAAAGAAGAGTGGGCCTGAATTCCTCCACAGCAATGTAAAAGACTCATCGTAAACATTTGATTGCAGTTGTTACTGCAGAGTGTGGCACAACCAGTAATTAGGTTTGGGGGAACAGTTACTTTTTTAAATGGGTGACATAGCTTTTGAATATATCTTTATCATCAATAAATAGAATGATCATTTAAATTTGACAAATTAGCCAATAAGTCATTACCATTCAGCCAATGATGTTTTTTTTTTCCACACTGGGTAAAATACTACGCAGGTCAAGTCTACACATAGGCCTTTGACAACTAAGTTTGTAAAAGACATTTAGGTAACTTTTTCTTTGCATACTGCAGATACACAGTGAATTATCCAGTAAATATTTTAACTCCACTTCCAATTCCCATCCGTCAACACAAAGCACACCCCTAGAATTGTATCTAATAATTCTATCCAAGTACTGTCCAAATACTTTTTTATAGAGCAGTGCCTTTGGCCAGAGTGGGTATCAAAGTGCCGTGTCTCTTTTGTCCAGGGGGATTGTGAAGTTTTAAGCCTATAAACCTTACCTGAATAGGACTTTAATCAATCGACTTGTGGGACATACATCTCTTTCCAAGCTGGGTGGGTAATGAGTTGTTTAAAGGAGGAAAAGTTCTAACCCCTCTCCTCCATCTGTGGGGTGATGACTGGCTGCGTGTTCTGTGTTTGTTTACCTGTGTCTCTGATCTGCTCAGTGGAGGGACTGTGTCACATGACTAGAGCGTGACAGCGCAGTGGGAGCTTGAGAAAGCAGAGCTGCTCTGGTCTCTAAAAATCTCCAACAATACTGCAGCTTGTTTGACTAAAATGCAGTAACAGGATTTCAAAGGGTCCATAATAACAGTGCTGTGTGGGAATAATATTGCAGTGTAGCGAATTACTGAATACCAGCACATATATGTAGTCACCATTTATCCTTGCATGACGTACTGATGAGGCAAGGTCAGGTAGAGGTTTGAAGATGGATCTCATTTATCACCTCAAAGTGAACTCCGCTGAGTGTGTGTGTGTGTAACTGACCTGCAGTGTGTTATGACAGATCATCAGTGACACATGCGTTTAGGATTCATGGTGTTGTCCTGCTACTTGGTTTCTGCTCTTTGATGTCTAAATAACTCACAAACTGCGGGAAGTTCCACCCTGACCTACAGCAGTTGTGTCATTCATCATCAGTCAGGCTTCAACATGAAGCTTATACATACTGTGCACACACTTTACTGAGCTGTGGAGTGTGATGTGGTGCCAGGCTCTGCTGATAAAACTCAGTATCTGTTATATCAGTGTTACGGCATCAGATGATGCTACTGTATACTCTTTCAAATCTGACAGAGCTTGTTCAGATTAAACTGTTTTATTCTTTTCTGCTTCTCTTAAAATTATTTCAGAGGGAACCTTACAAGTATTGTAGACATTAACTTACTGTTTGTTTTTTATGTATTTTTTCACGGAAACCATGAAACAAGAAAAAAATTGAACAGTAAAGCACAGTAAAGTTAAAATGGAGATATTCCATTTAGGTTTTTATATGAGGCAGTTTTTTTTTTATTGTTAATAGCTTAGTTGCATTGTCTTTACAATATCACAATTTTCCTCTACTGACACTGTGAAAATTTTGTTTTGAAATACATTTTGTATTGTTCTGAGCCAAACCAGTCTGTGTAGTGCACATAATAAGAGCTCTGTAGAATGAAAATATTTTAACCCACATAGTATAAATAAAATCAGACCAAATCTTGACATCAGAACCAAAAAATTGTGTATAATTACACCCCATTTACCCTGTTATCTATCAAGAAAATATCATTAAATTAATAACATGAATAAAATTACAGTAATAGTTGAATGTCAAAGTAAAAGAGGCAAGTTATGAATGTTTTTATATTTATTATTATATTGTTTTTGTTGTAAATGTTTTATCAGGAGCGTTTTCATCCTGCCCTAGTTACCAGAAACAAAGAAAAAACATAACCAAATATACTAATGCAACTATATACATAAATGAAATAAAATTATTTCTCTACTAAAAAAAACTACAAAAAAAATAGTTTTGGTGAAACTGACTGAAGGGTCAGCGGTGTCGCTGTGGTCTCAGCAGAGCAGAAAAGTACAGGCTTGTTTTGCTGGAGAAAATGCCCCTGACCAATTCAGTGGCCATTGCTAGGCAAAATTAAAACATTATGACGATTGGCCACATTTTCTCCTATCAAAACTTTAGGCGTCAGGTTTAGTTAACATGCCTTACGTGCCATAATGCATAATTTTAACTCAGTTTGAGAGAACTCACATTGAAAAATTAAATGTTAACTAGACAAAAATAGGACAATGAGCAGTTTTGTGAAGTATCCCCAAAGTAGCTCTTTTTAACTCTGTGGCTAAAAGTCTGTATATATTGGCATGTTATTTTGCTAGACCAAAGCCCAAGTCCAAAATCTTGGTGTTCTAATAGACTCAGATCTCACCTTCACTAGTCATATCAAAGCAATCACCAAAGTAGCCCTCAATCATCTAAAAAATATAGCCACAATCAGGCTTGGTGTCCCAACAAGATCTAGAGAAACTCATCCCTGCTTTGATCCAGCAGGGTGGACTACTCTAATGGTTTCTTAACTGGACTTCCAAAAAAGACTATTAAACAATTTTTTATTTTTATTTGTACTGCACTTTACCTTTAATAAGCTAATTTCTAATAACACTTTGTCTTTCCTTTTTATGTTTATATTTTATTTTTTTTATTTAGCTTTTATGTTCTTTGTACTTCCTTTTAATTACTTGTTTTACTTCTTTGAGCTATTGCACTTTGTATTTATTAGCACTTTACTCTTAAGCACTCTTTATGATGTTCATTTTGCTTTTATTTTATGTTGAATTGCCTTTGTGTATGAGATATGCTAGGTGAGTGTGAGAGTCAGATGAGTGTGTGTATATGTGTTGCTGCAGGGAGAAAGTTCAGTCCAGGTGCTGATGGGCATAAACACTGGACATTGTTAAACAGGCACCATGAGAAGGACACAGCCAGCACTCTGCCTCATAGCTGCTGTTTCACAGCGACTTCACTTCCTGTCCTGCCACTCTGAGTCTGGAGAAGATGTGTGTGATGTGTTGAAAGAGTATCAGACCTATTTCGCCTCAGCGACTCTGATGCGCTTTATAACCGCACTGATTCACTCACGTGTGCAGAGACGTATAGATATGTTTAGTGTATTGTACATACAGACTATAGGCCTCAGAACATAGACTTGATACTATTGATAGTTTGTTTCAGATTGGTTAAATTCAAATAAGCATAGGACAAATCAAGCATGAAGAAGCAGAGGTCAAGTGAAGTTATTTTTATTGCATTGATGATACAAGTAGATACATTATGCCAATAAGTTAGCCTACACAGTTCTTTTGAGCCATGCCAGAAAAGGTTACTTGGAGTGACATCATTGAAGAACTGCTTTTGGTTCCCTAAAAAAATCTTTCAATTTGATGGAAACCACTAAGCTGGAAGGTTCTTCAGCGAACCAAAAGTGTATTTTGTATACCATCACTCCAATGATCACTTTTTGGCACCTTTATGTTTAGGATTATACATTAACCTTTTAATCCTGAGAGAAAAAGTGTCTATTTCTGTCTTTTAATCTACTCTTTAGATAGATAGATAGATAGCTAGATAGATAGATAGATAGATAGATAGATAGATAGATAGATAGATAGATCAGCATCTACCAGAAAGAGCAGGGTAAGTAGGGCACAACTGTAACAAAATTGCACATTTAATAATGTGATTTCTCACTGCTGTTCTTACATTTCTTTTGTTATGTCAAGAAAAAGCTGTCACAAATAGAAGAGGCGTTGAGGAAGGATGTGGGTGTGAGGAAGACTTTATTAAAACTAAACAAAGTGCTGGAGTAAACAAAGAAACACCAAGAAATAACACATGAAGAGACACAATCCCTGACAAAGAAAGACTGGAAACAGGGGGGCTGTAAATACTAGCAGACAAGATTAGAAACACCTGTGAACAATTCCAGGGCAGGATTACACACTAGACACAGGTGGAAACAATAATGACAAGGCAGGACTAGTGAGGAGAGGACGATGCTGGAAAGGGTGGGGCCTGGAAAGAGTAACTGTGACAAAAGCATAAAACTTGTACATTTTTAGTTTGTTTGTGCCACAGACAGCATATAAATACTTAAGTGTTTACATAGCTCAGAAATATCTTGGCAGATTTTTATTTATCCACCCAATTTTTATTAAGTGCCAGTTGCCACCCACAGTCTATGACTCCCCCTATCACAAAGGTCCCCCGCCTAGGAACGCTGTATGAAATGGGGGTCATAGCCTGTGGATGAGAATTAGCAATGAGTAAACTGAGGGAGGAACAGTAAAAATCCACCAAATTTCAGGTTGTAAGGAGGCAGCTGTATTCACTGTTTTTGTTTGTTTGTTTGTTTGTTTTTTGAGTAAGCTCAACTTAAACTGATTTGTACAAGGATACAAGAGGGGTTACTAGAGGGGCGCCATCCCGGGATCAGTTTAGTACTTTTTTTCTGAGAGAGTATTGTGTGTGTACAGTGTGTAGTGTGTGAGTAGGTGTTACACTGTGATAAGCTACTGAAACATACACGCAAATCACATTCAAAACATACAAATGTCATGCTTATACATTGCTTCTGCAATCTCTTTCCAGGATACAACAGATGTTTCCTTGTAGGTCATGACTGGGGAGGGATCATCGCATGGCTCTGCGCCATTCACTACCCTGAGATGGTGGCGAAGCTGGTAGTGCTTAACAGCCCTCACCCGTGTGTGTTCGTGGGTGAGCTCTCCTCTCCATCCTACTCGCTCTCCTCTGCAGAGGACAGGATGTGCCTAAGAGCTCCTGTCACATCATGTTACAGGAGTAGTCCATAGAAAAATCAAATGCAGTCAAACAGCAAAGACATGTTCGTTTACTTCTGTAGTTTTGCTAACAAGTAATAGAAGCTTATACCAATTTATAGCATAATGCAGACCGAATCACCGTACACTTGCCTCAAACCATGTTCAGATGTTGAGTAATGTTAAATAGGCTTGCTTATGTGGTTTGTGACCCTGTATCACCCACTGTTATCTATACAAATGGGGAAAAATGAGCTGGTTTTAGCTGTGCAACATACTTTTGTCCATTTTTATAGATAACAGTATGTCATGCAGTGTGAGAAACAGCATAAGCAAGTCTATTTGAGATTACTTAACATCTGAACAGGGTTTGAGGCAAGCATGTGCTAATTTACGCTAGCAGTTTGCACAATGCTAATTGGTGTACATAAGCTTTGATTATTTGCTCTAGCTCAAAACTAAAGAAGCAAACTTTGGAAACTAAACATATTTTAGCTTATTAACTACATTTGAGATGTATTTGATTTTTCACCAAACTGTTCCTTTAACACTAGAGGCTCCATTCTGCTTAATGGATTTATTAGCATGATTAGCATCATTCAGAATGCAGTATTATTAGTCCTGAGAGTGATGCTGTCTTGGGGCGGCGTCCTCCATCTGGCTGCTACTCTCCTGCCTGGAGAAGGAGATGAAAGAGGAGGTAATTACTGGAACACTTGGGGCATAGATGCAGAAGATTGTGTAGTCCACTTACAATGTCACTTTGGATCTGCTGGGAGTAAAACACTGCACTCTTCAAGACTGTTTCATGGCAGCATTCGGTTTATCTATATCTCAAGATCTTAGTATCTTAATATCTTGAGAGTCTTCCCTGTTGTTGATTTCTGTGCTTTTAAAAGCCTTCCTAAAATCTCTTCTCTTCTCTTCTCTTCTCTTCTGCATTTTCCACTCTTTTCTGTTTTTCTATCTTCTCTTGTCTCTTTTCTCTTCTTTCTCTTTCAACTCTTTCATTTATTTTCTCTTCTGCCCAGATTATGCTCTTCGTCACCCCAGTCAGATGCTGAAGTCCAGCTACTTCTTTTTCTTCCAGCTACCACGTTTCCCAGAGCTTATGCTTTCCATCAATGACTTTAAGGTGAACATGCATTACTTTCTGTGTGTGTGTCTGTGTTTGTGGTAACTCTCTGATACTTTGAAACGTTTAAAAGTGGGGAGTTATTACTTTTGTTATAGGGTACACTATTGCAACATAATTCTGTGAATGCATACTGAATTACATAATCATGTAAGGAATTGCATTTACATTCAATCTACATTCTTCTTACTATATATATTATAGTCTATAATATATTGACAGGTTTGAGACTGCATTTAATCAAGAAATGACAAATGTGGCAAGACTGTACCCCAAATCATATAAATAAAAAATGTATCAAATTCAAATATATAATAATAATAAAATATAAATTGTTTGTTTAAATGATCTACAAATGATAAATCATTATCATCATATCATCACAATCAGTGTGATAATTCATTTAAATTACTTTAGGTTAAGTGTAATAGTACCAAGTCAGAAAAGCTATGAAAAGTTTAATCCTTGTACAGATTTATCCACTTAAAAATATTCATGCCTGATATATGCACATTCTAACAGACACTGAGGTCAGTGGCCTACATGAGCAGTGTTGTTGTACACATGGCAAACAAAAAGCCAAAAATATCAGAAATGCTTGTTTACTGTGATGCCCCTGCATTGCAGTCAGCTGCAGTTTGTCCAGGCAGGTGCTGACACCAGTTTATTAGCTGACTGCCGAGTAGCTCCAGGTGTCTAATGTGAGCAAAAAACAGTGGCACAGCCAAGTGCGCTGATGCCTGGTGCTGCAGTGAATTCAGCCGTGATTTGGGAGGGCTTGGTGGAGTGAAGGAGAAAACAGAGCGTATCTCTCCCTCTCCCTCTCTCTCTCCCTCTCTCTCTCTCTCTCTCTCTCTCTCTTGCGCTCTCTCTGTATAATTTAGGGTGGAATTATCATCCAAGAGTTTCAAGCATTGCCACTGTCCAGTAATCCTGTTGAAAAGTGGGATTCTGCTTCCAGTTCTAACGGCGCAAAAGCTGAAAAATGACTCTCATAGGGATAGATGGCAAGATAATTTTTCGGTACTGATATTGAAACCTACCTTGAGTATGGGCTGATACAGCTCTAATATTTCTTTTTTGAAAGCTACTGAGCTTTAAAATGAGCTACTTTTATTTAAAGCTATTCACTTAAGATGAGCATCTAAAAGTAAGCTATTATGCTTAAACTACACAAACACTCCACTACAGCTTAGGAAAGAAATACACAGCTAACAACATGACATCACGTAGTGTGAGTGCATGCTGTTCATACTAGATTTCATACAGGATTAGATCCAATTCAACTCTACTTTTAGCACTTTCAAAAAAGAATTTTAAAACCGTGTATACTATGTTTAACTAGGATCTGTCTGTTTTTAATGTATCAATTTATATTTTCCTGTATTTTTCTGCATGCTCAGATTTTCCTGAGAAATGGATTATACAAACTTTGTATAAACTAAACACACACTGGATGCAATATCAAAAACAGTTAGAATTCAGTTGATTCTTACTGACAGTAAAACTCTTCTTGGTGTTTCTCCTCTTCTTTGTTTATGTGGACTGCACATCTATGCTTCAGCCAGTATTTTTGCATAAAGTACAGTGCATTTCCAAAGAAGTTGGTTGGATTTTCTGCTTTTCACAATTCACGTAATCGGCCTCTTGACAGCTACACATCCTTTCAGACTCATAGTGTTGATACAGAAACACCTGTGGATTTTTTCAGATCTGAAGCAAGACTGGAGATTGATTTTCTCCTCTCTCTCAAAGATAAAAGCTTTAAACATTTTATACTGTTTATCTGATGGTGACAGTTTTGCCTGGTCTTTTTGTCTAGATCTTTATTTTCCTCTTCCTTATGCAAGAGGATTATCTGATCTCTTTAGAAATATCACCTGAAAAATACTTGTGCTCAAAAGGTAGTCTGTGACTTTTACACAGTACTGTACATGGTGTATATTGGCATGAATAGGCTACACTAATACAATTATATCTCTTCATGTACTGGATCTGCAGGCACTGAAGAGTTTGTTCACCAGCCGAAGCACAGGGATTGGACGGAAAGGCCGCTGGCTGACCACAGAAGAGCTGGAGGCCTACCTGTATGCCCTGTCCCAGCCTGGAGCCCTCACTGCCGCACTCAACTACTTCAGAAACGTCTTCAGGTGCGCTACACCTGTACATGTATGCTCTGCATCAGCCGACTGGCTGCAGTTTTCACAACTAAAAAAAAAACATTACACCTGAAATGTACCCCTTGCATTTGTGCAAAATGCAAACACTTTGAGCTACATAATCACACAATTAGTTACTGCGTTTGGCATTGTGTTATAACTGGAGGAAATTAGATTTATTATGAATTATGAATACAATTATCACTAAACTTTTTATTCTAGTCTTTTTCTTTTCTTATCAACAAGCAAAGTGTAATAATACACTCCTCAATTGTCAATACATTTACTGTTGTTGATGTTATAATAGCAGCTGATAGTTATGCTCACTCTGATTTGTACTCTTTTGTATTCCATTGTACTTTCCCTCTTTGGTTTTTAACCTGCTTAGTAATGTTAGAACACTCACTGCGTTTATATAACAGGACCTTGAAGTTGCAGTGTGTGGTCCAATAGCTGCCATTGGTGCTTGCATGCTAGCATAGGGCATATTTCTGATCTTATTGTCCTGAAACTGAAACTAAAGAGAGTGCTGCCCCCTAGTGACCTAAATGAGTACTGTTTGCAATTGAACCAGCAATGCAGACCTGTGGTTCTGTTTCAGTGGTTCTCAGTCTTCTGGCCTGCATGTAGTAGAATTCTCCCTGCTCTAACATACCCTGTTCTCCTCAGGAAGGACTTGTTAATTAGTTCCCTAGTTGCATCAGATATGTTGGGAGCGGGGAACTATAAAATGTGCAGGACAGCGGTGCTACCGAACTAGGACTGAGAACCATCTTATTACTGAAAGTTTGCTATTGAAGACCACAAACCCATGCTTATAAGTATTGCTTATCTTAGTAAATATTGTTCAAATATATGAAACATGAACTGTCAGTAATGGTTTAACAAGCTGCTTTTGTTTAGTACAATGTGGCATGGAATCATATATTTATCACAAAACCCACAAAAATTTTTACTCATTATCATATGGAAACACCTGAAGGTGTGAATGCAGAACACTGATGACTTTAAACATGAAATGCAAATAAAATGTATTTACTGCATACTGCAAAGAGAAATGTAGGTTTCTGTCCTATGTCATATCTATACAGATATCCCTTGTTTCAGGCATCAGGCAGTGTATTCATAACTACTTCATGTCATCATTTTCGGTGATGAAGCTTTTAGAGGCATTAAATGCTTCAGAAGTCTGGTTCCTGTCAACACTGTGAACAGTTTCTGTTTGAAGCATTTCACACCAAACCACTGTGAATGACATGGTTTATATCTTAATGGTTTAAATATGCAGACATTTATAAAACCTGATAAAATTCGCTTTTGAAGTATCTTGCTGCTCAGGAATTTTTCCTGAGCAAAAGAACACAGTAACCTCAACTGTGTTTAACCTTGAGATTTAAAAAACACTCATGTTTATCTGCAGGCAAACTAAAGACAGGAATATGAACTAAGAGCCTTCTTAGTTTTGATGTTGTGAATGACTATTATAATGTTTATATGAGCCTGAAGTATCTAGTTACTAGTAAGTAATTTTAGGAGAATCACCATTAAGTCTCCTGAACCATCAAAAAGCAAGATTAGAGTAGTAAAATTTGCCTCTGGGATGAGATTTCTGTGCATGTATTAAACAAGAATTTAAAATCTGCACTGAATGAAAGATTACAGTACATTACAGACACACAAACAAACTGAAGTTGATAATAAGACAGAAGTTGTGTGTTTTCTTTTCTTGGACAGTAAGACGTTCACAGTGAGGATTTTAGAGCCTTATGTTGAGGAAGCTGCAGTGTGAACGTTGTGTACTGGTGTGCAGGCCGAGGCCATGTTGGGAGCATGTGAGTGCTGCATGCTTGGCTGGTCCTCCATCTGCTCCTCAGACTGCCTTTGTTCATGTCTCAGGGCAGGATGGAGAGTGTGTGTGTTGAGAAAAGAGAGAGAATAGCAAATGTGGCAGTAAGGAAACAGCATTGTCACTAATGCTAGTGGACAATTCTACAAAAAATCGAATTTACCCAATTTCCCCCTTACTCCCCCTTACTTTTTATGTATAAAACCTTATACATACTCTAATTTACCTTTAGATATCACATTCAAGATTTTAAGTATTTTGGCAACAATAAGATGTTATTTAAGAATAAACAGCTGCACATCATTACTCTGCTCTCTCATTCTGGATGAACTTTATGCAAATGAGCTGAGCAGCGACCAGTCAGATTGTTGATATGTGGTGCGATCACAAGGTGATATTTAATCCTAAAAGCACAAAGAGCCAGAGATGATGGTTAATAAAACATTTTTATTACATTAGGTGATTTTTAGAAGTTTAAAAACAGTAGGCTGAAGTTTGCTTATTTAGTTTTGCACTTGGTCTACAAAGCTAATGTAACTGAGTAATGAAAGCGTAAGCTTTTATATCACCTGTTAGCACTGTGCCAACTGCATGACCTATATCATTACACATTTGCCTTAAACTGTGTAGAGTTGTTAAGTAATCTCAAATAGACTTGCTTATGTGGTTTCTGATACTGTATCAACATAGTGCTACAAAATACAGCTGTCAAAATGGCTGCTAGCTGTACTATGTACTTTGGTCCATTTATAGAAGGTCTCATGCATGGTCAGGGTATTAAATTAAATTGCATTAAGTGACCCTTACTCCCACAACGGGGAAACTTCACCTCCGCATTTGTCCCATCCATGCAGTGAAACACCACATACACACTAGTGAGCGCACACACACTAGGGGGCAGTGAGCACACTTGCCCGGAGCGGTGGGCAGCCCTATCCACAGCGCCTGGGGAGCAGTTCAAAGAAAAAAGAAAAAAAGAATGAAGAATAGGGGGAATTTTAATATTATTTGCAGTCACATACAGTAGTACTTTATAAACATTTGTTACTACTTGGCAACTTATTCTCAGCTTTGTAAAAGGCATTAACATACTATATGCATGTTCAGTGTACCTGCATGTCCATAATAAGATACTACAGTATGTTTCTTTATTTGTATTTTTGAGAGTTTGTCTCTCTGTTCTGTGTTCTCCTCAGTTTCCTCCCTCTCAGTCAGAGTGAAGTGCGCTCGCCTGTGCTGCTGCTGTGGGGAGAGAGAGACGCTTTTCTGGAGCAGGACATGTCCGAAGCCTGCCGCCTCTACATCCGAAACCACTTCCGCCTCAACATTATCTCCGGAGCCAGCCACTGGCTGCAGCAGGACCAGCCTGATATCGTCAACACACTCATATGGACTTTCCTCAAGGAGGGAGAGGGACGCAAAAACTACAGGAACTGACTTTCTGAAGAGGGGCCTTCAGCCTGCAGAGGGGACCGGGGATATGCCTGTGAAAAAAACAACAACAACCACAACAACAAGAAACATTCAGTGGGCTATTTCACAAAGATTTCTCAGTTTGCCAGATAACCTAGCCAGAAGTGAAGCTTGTCTAAACTACAATACTTGCTGACATTGTCACGATACATGATGTGTTTATGCTTAGGTTTTTTTGGAGGTTTGTGAACAAGTTGGAATGGACAAGATGCACCAGCAAAACAGTCGTGCCATGTTTTAAAGAGGCTGTGAAAAACTCAGTTTTGTGTTTGTTTATAATTAAACAGTTCGTTGCCGTTGGAACAAAACATCATATCTCCAATTTTGGCCTTTTTTATTTTTGGACATAATTTGAAAAAGGCAGTTCCCTTTTATCTTGTGTCAAAATGTGTCATGATGAACAGACCAACAAAAGTGGTCCAAAATTACTTGGAAATAAATATTTCTCCATTAAAAGTTAAGAATGTTTTTCCTTGTTCTGTAAAGTTTCCTTTTTGGAGATAGGAGGTTTTTTTCCGACAGCAGCCAACTGAAAAATTTAACTAGTTAAAGGGAAATTCCACCGATTTTTCAAAACCTTCTGTATAATTCAGTCATTACATGGCTTACAAAGTCAATCAGAGGAGTTGATATGGATATGAAATGGTTCATTGTGGAGAAACTTACTGACTCAGATTTCTTTACACTAGTGGTGATGGGAACCAGGAGTCTCATTGTCTAAAATGCAAATGCAACCATTTTATTTACTACCCAAAACCACCAGTGAAAATATTTGTGTCTTCCATATTGTTCTACATAACATAAGGATAAAACAGTGTTAAATCTAAAAAATAGTTTTTTCTCCTTACAACACCCTGCATGTCCACCATGAATGAATTTAAAAAACATATTTTAGGCCAAAACACTTTCAAAACTATCGTAAAACAATATCTCCAACATCAGGCAGTGTATTCATAACCATTTCATGCAATAACTTTGTCACCACTGCTGTGAACAATTCTGACTCAGTGAGCTTGTCTAGACTAGATTCATCTGAAGTCATATTACCCACCCCTAGAAGGGTTGTTAAAGTTATGAAATTTTCATTAGTTATTATTTTCATTCAGTTTTTCATTTTGGTTTTTCATTGCAGTTTAGTTTCAGTTATTTTTGAGGGTGCATTAATAGTTTTAGTTGTAATTTTATTTTCTGAAATGTGATAGTTTAGGATTGTTTTTATTTAGTTTCAGTTTCAGTTTTAGTTGTTAGATTTATGATGAATGCTGTGATAGCAGGTACTTGATCAGAGCTCAGTAGACTGAGCTGGGATCCAGCTAGTTTTAGTTAACTATAATAACCCTGACTGTATTACAACAGGGACTTTTCCCTTTTTGACAAGCCTCAACCTTTGGATGAAGTTATCTAGCTTACTGAGCAATCCTCCTTTGTGAAATGTCCACCTGGTTAACGCAAGCATCCTTTTGAATTTGACACATCTCAGATAATCTAACAAAACACAAGAACAAAGCCTAGAGGAGAAGCACATTCTAATAGGAGAGGCTAAATAGAGAGTAGCGCGTTTTGATCAATTTTTCTCCAGTTTGCACATGACATTCGCCTTAAAAGTCTGATGGTGACAACATTTTGTAAGTAAGTGTGTGGCAAAATCTACTTGTGAGTGAGTTGTATTGTGTGGTGCCTTTTGACTTGAAATTGTACCATTTTGCGACATAAAAAGATGTGCCATGTTTGTGGAAGTTGAGCTGTGGGGTCGCTACTCTTTAATCCAGACAAATCTGCTGGGACTAGAATCCCTCTACTTCTCTTTCAGGTAGTGTTGTCTTTATGGATAAATATTGAAAATATTTGAAAATATTGTTCCACTCCTTTTTTTTGTATTTTTTGACAATACTTGGCGCAGAAATTTGAGAATGTCATTATTTTGATCCTCCTGTAAGATAAAAATGAAAGTGATGTTTAGATATTGTACACTTTTTTGTATCTCTTCCTTACACGTTGCATATAAAAAGGTCACTAAACCAGCTCTGCACCATTTTGGTTTTATAAGCAAATAAATGATAGCCAGAACACTGCTTGGATTTGCTTATTTCTAGATCTATGCATGAAGCTGCACTACTATTTTTTGTTGTTAAAAATGAAAAGTTACATTACTGAGTTAGGAGAGAAAAAACACTAAAATATGGTGTGCGTGTGCTGCTGTGAGTTCCTGTGAAGCCTGAAATAATAATTTAAAAGTCAGAACTGTCAGGTTGAATATTGTGGGAGTTTTTCTGACCACATTAAATGTCTTTAAGGTCTGGCTCGATGTTTTGATCTCAAATGCAAAATTCATTTGCTAAATCACATTATACTGAAATGATGACAGGAGTAGATACTTTACTGGTATCCTCAGAAAACATGTCCTTCACAAAGTTTTGAATGATTTCTCTTTGAATACTGTTTCAGTGCGCTCGCAATCATCACATTCATCTGCTTGAGGAGGGGATGCAAAGCACAACCCATATTGCAAAATGTTCTTCAGCATGTTGCATGCAATTACAAATTTCCCACCAGAGAGGTCTGCCAATCCCCAAAACATAGAGTAGCATTAGTTATGCTTTTTAAATTTTGGAATATACAGACAGTATATATCAATATGCTCTACATGTCCAAAAATATCCAGAAACTTCTTCTAATTAGTTACTTCAGCTACTTTATGGTACATAGAATTGAATGCACATGAGCCAAAGATCACTATGCACCATGCCAAGCATCTGTTCAAGGGGTAGAAAACTCTCCATCATTCTGCTGTGAAGCAGTGGAACTGTGTTCTCTGGAGTGAAGGAGTTCCATCCGATACCTTTGGGATGAGTAGGGATGGCATATGTGATCCAGGACTAATGACCCAACGTCAAGCTCACTAATTCTTTTAATGCCTGAATGCAATCAAATCTTTGCAGCCTTCCCAGAAGAGTCATTATTGTTACTACTGGAAAAAGGGGTCAAACTCCCTATTAACAACGTTAAGGAAAAAGTATTGTTCTCCTTTGACTTCAGAAGAAACATTGAATGAGCAGGTGTCTACAAACTTTTCATTTTCATAGGGGTAAAAAGAATCTTTTGGGTCAGCATAACTTTTGAACTTGTCATATTAAAGTGACCACACAATTCACATCACTGCCAAATGCCACGGCAGTTTTTAAAGTGCTATGACAGCAAATGTTTATTTGTGCTGATCTGACCCCAAAATGTTGAGTCAGTCATTGTACAGAAATTAGTGTACAAAAAAGATCACGCAGTCTCACAGAGGTGAAGCATCACTCCAACAGCCTCCAGCAGCCTCACAAACAATGTAGGATTTCTATAGGAATTAGTGTAAGCTTCTACAATCTGTGGAAGTGGTTCTGGATTTAACCCATTAAATTCTAGGGATCTAGGGTTAGGGTTCTCATAACAACATTAAGTACACATCAGGTTTATTGTTACTTACTTTTCTTTTTTCTAAGTTTCTTAAGGTTAGTTACTGAATACTAGGCCATCCCAGGACAATTTTATTGATCAAATGTTGCTCTGTGATGGCTTAGGAGACCTAATGATTATTCTAAAATTCCTTAAGAACATTCAAGGAGAGATGAGAGTTTAGTAACATGAGTGTTAATATCTTGGCAACTCTGAGCACAAGAAGATTTTTGAACATGAGCCTCTCTGCCATGACTGGGTTTAAAACACAAACATTAATACTCAACTTTATTTCAAAACTAGCATGAAACATTTTCCAAGGTATCAGGCAGTGTATTTGTAAGGGAGGAGCTTTTAGAGACATTAAACTCTTTAGTCATCTGGTTCCTATCACCACCACTGTGAACAATTCTGACTGAGTAAACTTCTGTCATTAACCCACTCTAAATTACTTTATTTACATCTTAAGCAATTCATTATGCAGAAAGTTTGAAAAATTAGAGGAATTTGCTTTTAAGCTAGGGCCTCACCATTTGATCTCATCGTTGTCTAGGAAAAACAACTGCAATATTGAAAAGATCTTGTGATTTTTCCCTCTGGGCAGTCTTTAACTGGTTAACAGTGATGTAATAGAAGTGGTTACTGGCTATTTTATGTATTTCCTTAAATTGTTTTTAAGCTGAAAGTAATAACTCATTAGCTTTTCCTTTACAACCTTATACTTTGCTTAGCCTATGGTGAGGTCCATTTACCATATAGGTGCACATTGTAGTGCTACAATCACCAATTGCAGTCGAGGGAGTGAGGGATTGAAAGAGTGAGAAAGGTAGAAAATGAAAATGTAAGAGAGTGAGTGAGCAAATTTCTCCAGTTTGACCCTGATGACTGTTTTCATATCATAAAACTAACTTTTTTCATAATCTTTTAATTACAGAGACACACGATTCTCTCTTGTTATTTTACCACCCGCACCCTTATAGTGGCTGTAATATAGCACTAATTTGAAGACCATAACCAACTCACAACGAGAATTAGTCATGCTAAAGTCTCCACATGGCAGGGTTAGGCCCAATCCCATTTCACCTCTCGGCCCTACCACTTAGCCCTTACCTCTCCGGTTTGCGCATTTACAAATCTAGGGAGTGTTGTGAGAAAAAAAAGAAAAACCAGTAAGATGGCTGCGCAAGCGACCAAAGAAACCCACAAATGTAAGTATTTTCACCATTAAAAAATTGAGATAACCATTGTATTATTTTAGTTTGTCGTTTCAATGCATTATTATGGTACTTTATTTCATAACAACCATAAAAAATCACTAGTAGTATGTTGATGTTGTGGTATTTTAATGAAAATATTACTATTTTAATCAGTAAGAGATCCATAATTATATGCATAAAGTTGATTAACAAAGTGTATTAATCCTCTCACTAAGGATAGTTAGGGGAGTTTGGCATTGTAGAGTCCCTGAAGTTCAGAAGCATCTAGAAGCCAGTGTACATTGTTGTAAGGGCAAGCTGACCCCAAAGAGTGAGGTAAGCTGATAAGCAACCAGTTTTGGAGCCAGTTTAATAAAGCAAGAGTTAATTGATAGCCTTGAGAGGATGAGGCGGGATGGTACAGCCAAGCATGGAAAGTTTTAAAAAAAACAATGTCAGGTGCGGTTGGAAACAAGGGTTTCCAAATAAAGTGTAGAATTAGGAAACAATGGGAATCAAAATGATATAGGACAATGTGAGAGGGAGGGGGCAATTACTTCATTGCCCCCAAACAGGATATAAAAAAGGATGTTTCTGTGATGTACTTTGCATTTGGTTGTCCGGAAGCCATCTTGTCACCTGAAGCTCAATAAAGAAGAGGGCGTTTTCCTTCCTTCCAAAAGAACTCAGCGGCTGAAGTCTTTTATTCCACTTTCCTTTATTTTTGACTGAACCTTATTTTATTTTGCGTTTATGACGAGAACAAGTGATTAGATTTATTGAAGAACTGAAACATAGTTATAGAACAGAGCAGGGTTTAATCATCCATATGTTGGGGCTTTGAGCGAGCAGGAATTGCATTTAGTCCCGACAATGTCTTGGTAGCTATTTAGCTAAATTTTCCGTTCCACTTTAAATGGTGCAGCCGTTCCATTCTGGTGCCTCAGGCATGAGAACTGCTGCACTATTTAAGGTGGAATGGGAAATTTGAACAAGAAGCTGGTGAAAAGCTAACTTCAGTTTCATATCATTGAAGAATTAGAGGTGGGCGATAATAAATAATTGTTGTATCCTCCCTCTTTGAAAGTATATGATTCCCTAAATTTAACTACAGTCCAGCAGTGAGGTTGCTGAACTTTACTCTCCTCTGCTGTCACTGCAGACTGGCAGGGTCGCTTACAGAGCACCACTAGTAGCCTGTTAATGAAGTAATGCTCTTATTGTCCTATTTCGTAGGGACGATTTCAACCACTAAACCTTGTAACTCAGTTACCCCTTGTAACTCATTTCCAAGAGGCAAGGTGACGCTTGAAAACAAGGGGTAGGAGTAAAGATAAGAAATGGGGTTGGCCTTAATTTCAGTGCAGTGTTACAACTAAGCCACACAATGTAAACAAAAATAGAAGTCCATATCCTCCCATATAAATTCTAAACAGTGATTTTAGGACATTATTGTGCACAGATATATGAGATACGTGCGATAAATGTTATGGAAATAAACTCTGTTTCATTTTTATCATGATGACATTTGCTGTTCTACTTTATGCCACATTTGTCAAAGTCATGTTTGTTTTGATGCATGTATTTTTATGTATTTGGGTTGGAAAGCTTGTCTGGTTCAAACAGCATAGAACAGTATTGAATCAATTGTGGGTTGCATCGATTTACTATATTAGTGTCTATTACAACTAGCCTCTCTGTCTGTTACCATTAACCCCAGCTATGGGGTCAGTTGTAACATTTGCGCTCGCACTGAGATTAAGATTATTATTTTTTTATTTAAGCAATTTACATGTCTATTAAAGGTGTTTTATCTTACAAGGTTAGTTACACATGCGCACACACATCTTCTAAGCCGCTTATCCTTCTGGGTCACGGGGGGAGCTGGAGCCTATCACAGCAGTCATTGGGTGGAAGGTAGGTTAGTTACAGGGCCGCTTTAAATTTTTGAGCTAACTAAACTTCTAATAGAACTTCCAGTAGAACAAGAATCTTTGACTTACAATTTGATGTTCAGAAAACAAAGTTTCAATACAGCCTAATAACTAACCTTCTAAGTTGAAACACTTTTTTATATTGAGAAACATTCAGATTGCTTGTATATGAAAAATAATCTTAATCTTAAATACTTGCAATTTATATGAATATTTGTGTTGCACTGCTGAGTGAAGGAAGATGTGAAAGGGAATGAAGGAAGGAGTGAATAAGGGAGAGAGAGTAAGAGTGAATTAGGGAGAAAGTGACGAAGGGAGTGTTTAAGGGATTTATATATTTACAGGAGTTCACAGGATTGAAGGGCTAAGAAAATTAAGCAGAGCTCAGGTTGGACTGCGTTTGTAATTAATATATCATCCTCACAGGGACTTTCATTTTTTTTCTACATAATTTCAATACAACAGCTCCCTTTATATTGTGTAAAGATAGAATGAACCAATAGAAATACTCCAAAATCAAAATTCTTTACATTAACCTACAACAAAAGTATAAAGAATATTTTGTTTCTCCTTTAAAGTTACTTTGGAGATACTTCTTTTTTTGTGGACAGCAGCAATATTTAAACTTAAACTACCAGCAAGTTTTGTGCATAATTTAAGCAATCCTTCTCCCAATCAGGCCTTGGTGTATTTGGGGCTTGGGGTCTTCTCCATGCCCCCTTTTGACACCAGTCCTGCATTAACAAATCTTCACATACAAATCAGGATAAGTTGTTAAGTAATCTCAAATAGACTTGCTTGTGTGGTTTCTGATGCTGTATGACACGCTATAATCTATGAAAATAGTAGCAGCAGCAGCCATCTTAAAGAATTTGAACTAAACTGAACTTTAACTTAACTAAAGAGACAAAGTTCCAGCCCTATCTTGCAAAAACGACTACATTTGAGTAAAGCTACGTTAATTTGATTTCTGGGAGACCCTTTGCTCTGAAGGGCCCATATCATAAAAAACTTTTGAACTAAAGGAGTTTGATAGAGTCTTCAAAATGTACTCCACCACCCATAGTATAAGGAAACTAAGTTGCACAAAAACATGTTTTGAATATATTGTTTATATTTCATTAATTAATTCATTCATTGATTTCACTGACACACTGAGCCTAGCCTACTTTTTGAATGAAGTACAATACAGTACAATCAGAACAGGGCTCATTTTCATACATCCAATCTTAAAGGCACAGTAACAAAACAGCCTGTTTAATTTAAAGGTATAGACAGAGGTTGGAAAATGAGTTATGAATCTCTCTTGTGCATAAAACTACACAAATGTAATAAGTGGACCTTAGGAGAAAAAAAATAACACAGAAATGTAGGATATGTTTTGGCCCTTTAAAACCTGAAAATGACCTAACACGGGGCAGGTCGGTTCAGGCTGCAGTTAAGAACTCTGTCCAGTAGGGGGCAACACTCTCAATCCAACCCCCGCTGTGCTGGAAGACAAAAATTTCCGGGCCGTTCATGTTCATATTCATGTGTCCCTTCCAGTCGTTTTGTAGAGCACTGCGTATATAGGAGCAGAGAAAGAAGAGAATTAAGAGTCATAAATATAATATTCAGCCACTTAATGGAGATTTAATTGCAGGAGCTGATCTCCAAGCATGAGGACAGCCCGCTCAGACCGGAGGACGACGCTGGCTCTGTTCTTCCAGGTGTGGTGCAGCTCAGCGCTTTGTGTCCTGGCTACATGTAGCTAACTAACTAGATGTTTTACAGATGAGAAGCGAAATTTAATTTCGCAGTGGTATTTCAGTGTACAGGAGAAGTGTAGCTTCAAGGACGGGAGATGTTGGTGTCTTAGCTTGTAAGGTTGCTAACTCGGGTGTAGTAATACACTGAATATGTATTTACTACACGCCTCGTTTTCATGTTGCTGTTGTGTTTAAGGAGCTGGTTTGTAGCTAAGAGCTCAGCAATAACATTCCCCAAAGGTGAGGTTGCTAAGCAGTGCTTTTAGGTTTATTTTGAGCTAAAATATGTAGGCCTTAATGCTAGCCGGGCTTTTTATGCTCTTTACATCCTATTTTCCTTCAAGCGTTAGATTTAATAGCTCGCTTCCATCCAACATGCAGTTTAGTCGAGCCATATACAGTTTACAGTTTATGCAGTTTATCATTCAGTTTAATCACAACTGAGAGTGATTTACCTTTTAGAGAAGGAGCTGTAACGTTAAATGGAGTTACGTTTCAAGGATTTCAAGGTGACATGAACTAAGAACTAGGCATGGAAACTGAGATACAATGCTGTAAGTTAGAGATTCATTTTTCTAAGGTCAGTTAAATATTCAGAGTCAATATTCCGCATATTTAGTCGATATGTCATATTAGAATTCCTCTCAGTCATATCAGTAATATGGCTACGACTGACACATCCAGCCAGCTTTCGTTTTTATTGGAGCTAAAGAGCCCATATCCTGCATTCCTGCATTTTTCCCTTCTGAAGTCTACTGAAAACGTTCATGTAGGTTTGTGTACTAAAACAGTGATAATTCATTTTTGCATGATTGCTTTATCTTTTTTCTTTGTGACTCTATGCCTCAGAATTAAACATGTTTTTAGTAATATAGCCTTTGTAAAAGAGCTCTGTTTTCTCTGAGCTACAGTGTAGCTACCTTATTCAGATAGCACTCTGGACTGAAACACACCTTATAACTAAAACTTGAATGGACAGGCTAAATTGCTGTAGGCCGAATAGGTGGATATACGTAAATTAGTTGGTCTTGGTGACCTCACAAAAACACAATTTAATATGGGCTGTTTTTTTAATTTTTAAAAAATATGGACAGTAAGGGCTGAGGGGTGAATGGTATTTCTAACAACGTTTGCATGCTAAGTTGAACACTTTTGTTTATTAAGGAAAATGTGGATTTCTGGGATATGGGCCCTTTAAGAAACTCCCCCAAAATCTGGTTAACTGTCAACCGGTGTTAAACTCTGCTGTAATGAAGACTGCAATGATAAGTTATAACTTAGACTACATAACAGTGGGTGTGAGGGGGGCATGAACAGACATTGACTACCATTGGGATGAGTTGGAGTGACATTTGTGGTCTAGAAATAATCATCCAACATCAGTACCTGACCTCACCAATGCTCTTGTGTGAATGAAATCAAATCCTCACAGCAGTGTGGACGTTCCAATATCTACTAAAGCCTGCCTAGAAAAGTAGAGGCTGTTACCGCAGCAAAGAGATGACAAAGCCCTGTTATTACACTGGTGCCCAAGACGTTTGGGCATTGGATAGAATGAAATTGTAGCATTTTAGAATTGATAGAACTGCATCACTCAGAATCAATATACTGACAAGCTTCTGAATAGAGACATATTTGCAAACAAAAGCATGTAAGACTTGCAAGCTAATTGTTTTTCTATTTCCCAACAGAGCTGCAGAAAGTCTGTAGACGTCCCTACTGAATGCTGACAGGGCAGCGATAGGCTGTGATAGGCAGCTCTGCTGCATCTGTCATCCTGCTATGCTCTCCACGGAGGTGGCCCGGGAATTCCAGGCAAAAGAGCGCAAATGCAAGAATAATCTGAGGAAATGTCTGGCCAGCGCTCTTTCTGGAGACCTAGACAGGTAACTGTTGTATGGAGCAGTCATTCACCTTGAGGGTTGCCTTAAAGGTTATTCCAGTCATTGCATCAGACTTGCACGAGGAGTATGATGCAATGAGTGTAACATGCTTCAGAAAATTTCACCATGCTTTTTAATTGTGGTTGTTTTTTTGTTTCTTTTCATACATGCATGCACTACATTTGAATCATAGATTTTGGAAAACAAGATTTGCTTGATGTAGTTTTTGCAACTGTATAATAAAAAAAGAAAACACTGGTGCTCTTTGTCTGATTTGGTCAATAAGCCTTTCATTTAAGATTTACAGCAATAATCTACATTTACACAGTACTATATATATGTATTATAATTATTTTTTTATTTTGTAAGTAAAAATAAGTTGTAACATATATCCTCTACAAAGAAAACACTTCTGCACATTTAATGCACAATTACTGTATTTACTGAATTTAACATAGAGCAGCCTCCATAAATATTGACACCCCATAGTAATGAGTATAGACTGTACAAAACATACTTTATTGCTTACCCATTTGATCTTTTATTCAAATTATTGACAAAAATCTTTAAACTTTGTTTGGAGTACAATGATTGAAAGAAAAAAAACTATTTTTTGTCAAAGCTATGTGTGCCACAGTTTTTGTACCTTTTCATTTAATACTTGGTGCAGCCTCCCTTTTCAAAGATAACAGCACACGTGGCAAGGGATCTGAGACCATTCCTCCATACAGAATCTTTCCAGATTCTGCAGTCTGCGCTTGTGGACTCTCTTCTTCATTGCACATGTTTTCTATGGGGTGTAGGTCAGGGGACTGGGATTGTCATGGCAAAACCTTGATTCTGTGGTCAGTGAACCATCTTTATGCTGATTTTGAGGTGTGTTTTGGGAAGGGCTGGGCGATAAAACGATAAAGATAATTATCACGATATAACTTTTCCTCGATAGAGCGATAAGAAAGGTTTGATACATTTTCGATATAATACACCATTCTCACATTTCCACCTTCTAGCGAAAGCCCTGGTGGTATTTTCTACTACAAAGAAAGCGACACCACTCTGCTGTTGCCAGGAGAGGGCGCACTTCCGAGTTTTTCAACATGATTAGAGAGGGAGTGAAAGAAAGAAGTGGGTTCATGCAAGTTACAACCCTGATTTAAACGAAAGTGAACTGAGGAAGCTGTGAGGCGTTGGAAAGGAGGAGAGCGCTGTCTTTCCAGGCTAGCTGTTTTTAGCAGGTGGTTAACTTGAAGCAGCGCTCCGCCACTCACACAACACGGCGTATTGATGATACTGTAGATCAAACAAGACACAAAAGCACCGCTTTCAGTTTAAACATACCCAAAAGGACGACTCCGTTTGTCTGGTGTTTGAATAGAGAAACCCAGTCGTCGCTAGCTGGTGTTTGAATACTGTGATGTGCTCTGACATGGATGTGGCAGGAGCGCCTGCAGTAAGGCGGTGTGATCCATCACTGACATACCGAGTCAGCTAATGTTCGCTGTACGTACTAAACTGACGTTGTTGAGAAACTAAACAGTTTAGCACTGTTGTTGGCCACTTGTACCAGGATAGCCGAGCACTCGTCACCAGACAGCTAAAAATAATCTGTTTTCTTTCTTAAATTATGAATATTACAAAAACTGCAGCCATGCTTTTCCAGCTGATAAAAACAGCTGAGCAGACACTTTCTCCCACTGTCCCATGACAGATTTGTGAAATGTTCCACTGTTTGCCGAGTGTTTGTCATGTTCCGACCATAAAGGATAGGTTAAAACAGCAGTTAACTAGCCAGGAGCAAAAATCAGCCTTCAAACTTGAAAGAAATAATGATTTGACATTTATCACGGTATGTATCAATATCGAACGATATGAATTTTGTTTATCGTGATAACATTTTTGGCCATATCGCCCAGCTCTAGTTTTGGGTCATTGTCCTGCTAGAAGATCCTATCATGGCCCCGTTTAAGTTTCTTGGCTGAGGCAGTCAGATTTGCCACAGTCAGATACCATGTATCTGAACAAGCTGTCCAGGGCTCTTGGAAGAAAACCAATCCTACAGCATCACAGATCTACCACCATACTTCACAGTAGAGAAGAAGTACTTTTCTGCAAGGCTATTTTTGTGTATATGCCAAGCCCATATCTGTCTGTCTGTTGCCAAGAAGCTCTATTTTGGTCTCATCCGACCATAGAACACGGTCCTACTGAAAGTTACAGTAAAGTCTGCCAACAACCTTGTAGGCACTTGAATTAGTTGGTTCTTGACATTTCTTCTGGCAACCCTTCCAAACAACTTGTGGTTATGTAGGTGCCGTCTTATTGTAGTTTTAGAGATTTTCTGACCCCAAAGACCTAACTAATGTCTGCAGTTTCTCAGCTGTGATTACTGGAGATGCTTTGGACATTCAAACCATCCTCCTCACTCTGCGAGGGGTCAATAGACATAGATCCTCTTTTAGGCCAATTTATAACATCCTCAGTTGCTTTAAACTTCTTAATTATTGATCTGATGGTGGAAATAGCCATATTAAACTATTTAGCTAAACAACCTTTTGTAGTGCACCATTGCTGTACTCTTTGGTCTTTTGTATGGTGATGAAAGACTGAGGGAGTTTGAGCTGTATGTCACCTCATATTTATTTCCCGTTATAGTAGGAAGTTGTGGCTGACCATATAAGTGTTCCCAATTGCTCAGGTGAACTTTAAAACATAAAATATGAATGGGAATACCAACAAATGTGGCGCACACAGATTTAGATTTATTTGTTTAATGGCAAGATAAAGTAGTAAGTACTTAGTAATAAGTAAATATAAGTAATAAAGAATATTTTTTACAGCCTGTTTTGCTCATGTTTACCAGGGTGCTAGTATTTATGGAGGACACTGTATTGGGGGTGGGGACTCTGGCCTGTGCAAAAATTATATTTTATATTTTGTTTTTTATTGTATGTTAAATTCAACCAATTGTAGTGGTTTTTGGAACACTTTATATAAATATACAGCGAACAATGAACCAAATCCCTCCTTCCTGCTACTGCAGCGCTAGTAAAAGCACACTGAGGAAAAGTTAAACGAAAGCCATAGAGAGGAACAAAAATTGTGCTTTGCTCTTTAATTCTGACTTTCAGAGCATGCATAATGAGTATAACTTGGAGCGCAAGGCTGCTTACTCTGAAGCTCCTCCTGACCCACTTCTTTGATGCTGTGGAGCAGAGCGAACAAGAAACAGCGGTCACCTCAGTGCTCTAAATGCCCAGGGCAGAGCAGGATACTGGGTCACCCAGATCAGTCAGTGAGGACGTGAAGGATGATGATGGTGATGTGGAGCGGACACAAAGACAGATCAGGTTTTTGCTTATGTGGAGTTAAAATTAGGATTTTAAGTTTGATTTTCTCAGTCTCTACCAAACAATTAACAAACTTGCTTTAAACTGTGTGTGTGTGTGTGTGTGTGTGTATATATATATATATATATATATATATATATATATACATACACACATACACACACACACACACACACACACACACACACACATTAGTTTTGAATGTTGCACTAAAAGGAGATCAGGGTTCTTTATCTGATATTGCTTCATTAATGTAGTACAGTATCAAAATATAATAAAACACAGATAGTGACAGTGCAGTATGATCATAATAACAAATCATAATTAACCAAGAACTTGACAGTTTTAAAATTACGTTTTTAAAATTACAGGTATATTTCAGCTCAGACAATGACGCACATTACAGGACAAACAATAAGAACCGAGCTCGTTTACATATGTCAGTCTTCAAGGAACAGTAACACAAACGGCCTGTTTAATTCTAGAATAAAAATGGTCACATAAAAGTAAATTGTTTTTGGTGTAAAATGACATTTTGAGTGACTCTGAAACACAAGAAAAATGTTGAATATTGACTCTTTACAAGACTTATTAACTTCCATTTGAAAGCTGGGAATCCAAAAAGGCACAATTGGCATCAGTCTCCCTGAATGGGTAGGAATCACTCGATGCATCAGCATAATGTTCACTGAATTAACTAAATTGGCAATTTAGCGTTAAGGCACAACGATTTGGTGGGGAAAAATCTAATTGTGATTTATTGCACCAGTATTGTGACTGTGACCTACATTGCAATTATTTTTAGTAAATGAAGTTCCAGGTCTGTTTTTTTGGCCAAGAAGACCAAAATATACAGCTTTTTTTGTCTTCAGGCTTCAGTGTTGGATGTAGTGTGCCAGACGGAGACTTAGAAGTGGTTTTGTTGTCATGTAAATATGAGTATTTAGTTGATTCTGATTGAGCTGTCTGCAGTTCAGAAGCGCCTTGTTATTAGGTTAAAAAAAAAAAATCCTCACTAAAATTGCAGGTCTTAAAAATTGAAAACTGGGCTCTTTCAAACTGTGATTTCAATATAAAAATGATTAATCTTTCAGCCCTAATTAATATTCCCCTCCAAGCATCTTGAGCTCTCTAGTGATGCATTTTCAGTGGTCAGAAAAGATGCCTTCACCCTACTAGGCCGGTAGCATCTGTTGAGGGGAAGACCTAGTGGGTGGGAATTAGGCATGGGGGAAATTGGATTTTTAAAAATAAATAAAAAAGGAACTACTTCTGTTTAGTGTAGTAGTGTTTAGATTATAACTGTTTCAGCTTACATTTTCTTAGCATGTGCTCTGCATGGAGATTCTAGCAGTAGACTGATTGCATCACCACTAATAGTGTGCACTTATCAGAATTATTACAGTCTGTAATAATTTGATTTGTTATGATTGTCATTAGGTTTTAAACTGTAGTATACAGTTAAAAGTGGTAATCGTCCCTAGCATTCATTTATAAAACAAGATATCTGAAGAGATGTCATGTTGACTTCTGATTTTAGTACTTGTGGTAGCTAGCTCATTATAAAACCAGAACCTTTTTAGCCATACCTAAATTCCGTCGCTGACTGTGTGGAATATGTTCGCAGGCTGCTGCAGGAGGAGCAGGAGGTGGATGTTACTCTGTGCGTGGGTTCAGGGCTCCGGCTCCAGGCCCACAGGGCCGTCCTCCTGGCTCGGGCACCTCATCTCCTCCAGGGAGCCGCATCAACTGCTTTAGTCATCCACCTACAGGGCATAGAGCCCACAGCTCTGAAAGAGATCATCCGGTATGTGCTCTGTCTGGGTTTACTTGTACTAGGGCTGCACAGTTTAAACAATTTACATTGGTACGTATTGCGATTATGACGTACCATGTAATATATTAAAAATATGTTGGTGAATCAGTATTGTGCTGTGGTGCTGGATTACATCAAGTCATTTGCATATTGATGATTATTACAAGAGCCTATATCTTAATAACAATTCCCAAATGATACTGTGCATCACTATTTTAGTATATACTTCCAGTGATGTCAACCACAATTTTCAGTGTGGTCATTTACAGCATGTTGATTTTTATCATCATATTAATAATAAAACTGCTAATAACAAACTTTATTTATTGAGCACTTTTTGTACATGCAGGAACTGAGAGTGCTTTTCAGTCAAATAGTAAATAAAACTGTAAAACAGTAAAATGAAAAAAAAGAAACACAAGATGAAAAATAGTAATAAAAATAAAAAACGAATGAAATAAAATTTAAAGACTTTGTGGCAGTTTGCAGTACATGCAAGCTCTGGTACCCAAAACAGCTGCTAAACATATTCCACTTGCTGACCTTCTGATTTCCACAGAGAACCAGGCTGACTTTCTCTCTCTGTATGACCCCGCTGTCTCTGCACCTTATGGCAGCTCAGTTCTCAGTTAGGGCTTATGTAACCATCCAGGTTTGGCAAGAAAAACAACACCTGTTCTATACCCTTCTTCTGTGTAGGTGTACTTTGATTTAACGGTATCGCAGTCTTGTTTAGTGGAAAGACAAAACATCTTTGGAAAAAACAAAAAAATTTGTTCTTTCTGTTGATACAGAATGTAAACTGTAATGAATTTGGTCCTTGACTTACCGTATAATGATCCATGTAATTGTGTCATTATAACACTAGACTTTAAGGATTAAGGAAATTGCAGAGAAATTGAATTATATATTATTAGAATTAGAGCTGCAGTATCTTTGAATGCCTGACAGATGGTGCTATATGTCAGTAGTAGTCTTTGTTGTTTTCCCTGTCTGTGGATATTGGATATTTTCTCCTCAAGCATAATCTCTTGGTGAGATGGATTTGCCATTAACTCGTCAAAGGTCTCATAATAGCGAGAAGTGAGAGAATTCATGGTACTGTGGTAAAGATGATGCTTTACTTCTCTGTTTTGGGTACAAAGATGTCCTCTTATTTCCTTTTTCACCTTTAAATTCTTTCTTTGGGTTGCTATTTTGAAAGTTCCTCTCATAATTCCTGTCATAAATTCACTGCACTGTGAGCTATTACTTCTGTTTCTTTCAGCAAGTCACACCCTGAAACTGAATCTCTCACACAGTGCTTCTCTCTGTTTCTTTGCTGCTTTGCGTGCTGTACCTGGAACACCGTACTTAGTGGCCCCGAACACTTGCTAAGATAAATACACCTTCAAGATACACCATGGCATGATTATCTAGCAAAGATCTTAGTAGATGGGTCTTGAAGCAGCAGTTACATATCTTATTTTTATAATAACATTTAGTAGTTCATATCTTGTGTGTTTTTTTTTGTTTTTTTTTTGGCCTGAGAAATTGTTCACTTCTCTTTTGTGAACTCGAGCTTAGGGGGTGAGTTATATAATAATTTATCATAAATACATTACAGCACACTATTCTGAGTAGGCCTAAGTGATGGGTATTGTGAGTACTTTTCGAAGACTGAACAACTGCATTGATCATAAACTAGGCAGATTTACTGTACACTCTTAGCGAAAAGGGTTTGTAAACTAAGCGTTGTTTGTAAACTAAACCTTGTAATTCATGTCATGCATGTTGAAAATGCATTCAAGTATTGTGATGTTACATTTTTGCCACATCACTCACCCATGGTATATTGATTATGGAATATTGATTTTAAAATATTATAATTGCTTTTCATGATCATCTCATACTGTTGAGGTTTGGACTCTGGGGTGGTCAAATTCATAAATTTAAATAGTTGTTCAGTATGTAGTTGTCTCTTGCATTTCTCAGCTAGACAAAGTCAAAGGCTTGCATGATTTTACAATGAATTTAGGAACAGATTGCCTACTTGTTGTCTAAGGTTAAACTTGCTAATGAGTTTTTTTTAATGTTTCTGGACGAATAGGAGAGTGTACACAGAGGATAAGTGCCTGGGGAAAGTGACCAGTGGCTCTGCCGGACTGGATAGCCATTCAGCACTGCTGAATGGCGCGGCAGGTGAGACAGAGGATCTGGAGCTTCATGTTAGTTCACATGCAGGTGAGAGAGGGATTTCCCAGTTTCTATGAAATGGAGTAACTATGAAGACCTCCTGATGTCTGTTAAACATGATCACTATCACACTAAGCATCGGAGCTCTGTGACAGGGCTGATTCCATGTACCATATTTAAAAACTCCAAAATTAAATTAAAATCTCCGAAATTGTAACTTCACAGGAGGAGGAAAAAACCTTTTCACAAACAACACTGACAAAAACTAGGTAACAAATATAAGTATTATTTTCACAAGTTGAAATTTGGAGTTTAGGCTTTTGGACAGTCACCTCTCAATAAAAAGTACCCTATAAATGATGATTTTGTATATATTTAGCTTATTACTGTTAATCTCAATTAATGCCTTGGGTTTAAGTAGATCATAACATAATCCTTGTACATGTCTAAGGTCTGAATATGTGATTGTCGTTTTTTATTTTTTTTATTTTTTATTTTGTATTAATTTTTTTTTCCTGTAGGACTGCTGCTTGAATGAATTCGGTGGAATGGTCTATATGGTGATGATAATAATAACTGACTCTCTTTCACTTCTGTATTTTTCAATGGTTCCCCATTCTCTCTCTCTTTCTCTCTTTCTCTCTTTCTCTCTCTCTCTCTCTCTCTCTCTCTCTCTCTCTCTCTCTCTCTCTCTCTCTCAGATTCTGTGCATTTAGAGCCAGCCTCTGGCCTTGGCACTGACCTTTTGGCTCTGTATGAAAGAGGTGAAGCCTCTGATATTAGCATCCAGGTGGGAGAGCGAGTCTTCTCTGCTCACAGGTAATGTCACAACTGTTTTTTGTTTTTTTGTTTTTTTTTGTTTTGTGTGTTTTTTGTTTTTAATGTAGTAGTAGACATCCTGAAGCCTGAATTCTATTTGTACTTTTGTCCATGTTTAATAATTATCTTTTTCTTAATCAGTCCATTCATTCCTCAAGGCTGTTTACAATGTGATTCAAGCCTCACTAGCTGTTCTCTCTGTAAGTGATGGCAACCCAGGTTTTGGCTCTGCAGAGGTTACTGCCGTTATGGCCATTGTGTAACTATGGCAACCATGTTTTTCTCAGAGCACCTCCCTCGCCTCCTCTGCGCTCCAGAGCTCTTTAGCAGTACAGAGGTACAAGGGCCTCGCTTTGTCATAGTGTTGTGTGGGTGTTGTAGGGCTGGACAATAAATCAAAAATCTTATCATAATATCATCTTCATCATTTGATGAAAATAAATATTATACGCATCTGCTCATGCTCAGTTATTTTTTTTTTCTCTGCTTTATGTCTGAAAAAAACTAAACCAGTTCAGCATAGCCAACCTTTTTTACTCTGGAAACATATTGAAAGATAATTGCTTAAAAAAATTATCGCCATTGGATGTTTGTTTCCATTTGACAGATATTTCAAGCTAGTTTGTTTCATTTACTGTATTCTAGAAGAGCAGATTGTTTAGGCTATGCTGAATGCTAAAATTTTATTCATTTAAACATTTATTTAATTTTACTGAATTTATAGACTGTGTTACATTCCTCTGTAATGCTAATCCAGGTAGATTTAGTCCCAGTTTCTAACATTTTATGTTATGCATGTTAATGTATCAGCATTGGAATCAACATCAGATATGTACATAAAAATAGTGGATGTCGGCATTGGCTCACAGTCCCCATAGCAGCACATGCCTTCTAAAAATAGCCCACTAGCTGACTCTGCTGGTTTGTGCTGTTGAGAATGAATGGCTAGCCTTCTTCTCCTTGCATATCTTGTGAGTAATAGGCATACATCACTACCTAGTGATGGAGCAACTGTTCAAAGTTAAAGCCTTTGCTGCTGATACCAGATGAATGAATGAAATTAATGAATTTATTTTAATGGTTTAGATATTTACAGCACTGTCCCACAGTCATTACGCACATTAAATTTACAGGTTAAAAACACAACAAAGCACTGCAACTTATTTCCTTCGAAGTCTTCATAACATTCTGTTTGCCTGAACAGTATACATAGACAATAATGCCATATTCATTTTACTGAAGATATTTTAAATAGGTGTAATCGATATTGAAAAATCTATTCTTTATTGTTTCATAGCCCAGGGTGTGGACAGCTAATGCAGCTGCAGTCCTGATCAGTATTTCGGCCCTGTGGCGGCTGCTGCAGACGTGCGACAGCAGAGTTAGCGCACACACAACCGCACCTCACTGCCACAGCTTATCTCTGTCTGATCTCCCCCTCACTTTCATCACCCATCCACGCCCCCCTCATCCTGTGAGAAGAGGAGAGGAGAGGCAGTATCTTCATCCCCCTCTCTTTCTCTCTCTCACACATACACACACACACACACACACACACACACACACACAGCCAGTCAGGTGCAGTGTTTCTGTCCTCTGAAAGCTTTACGTGCAGAATGTTATCTAAACACAGACAAAGTGGAATTTTAATTTCATATGAAATGTCTCATTGTTAGCGCTATGCTATTGGCCTTAAACCACTGGTCCTGTCAAATGTACGCAGTGCTTCTTCAAGCCCCAAATGTAATCATTTAGCCAATACATTTTTGATGTCTAATGTTTGCTTCTTTAGTTTTGTGCTGAAGCTACGAGGCTAATGTAACTAATAGAAGGGTAGTAATAGAAGGGTATACTCCACCAGTGAACATCATGTAAATTGCATGACTAAATCATCACACACTTGCTGTAATCTCAGATAGGCTGGCTATTGTGTCTTTTATGGACAGAAGTGTGTCATATATATTCCTGTGCCAAAGTCAAAATGGCCATTAAGTATGTGTTTTTCAACATTGGAAAACACATATTTTACAGAAAATTACACAGAAGCCTTAACAGCTACATATAAAAAAAAAAAAATTAGTACTGTGTTAAATCTATTACAGCTTCCATTCTTTTTGAGAAACATGCTTTTAGTTTTTCTGCAGGGATATTTTTCCACACATCCAAAGTTCAGTCTTAGAAGTTAGTTTCATTTTCTATTTCTTACAGTCCAACAAGATTACAAGATTGGAGTTTGATTTTCTCCTGTCTCTTAAAGATAAAAGCTTTAAGTACTGTTTATCTGATTGGCATAGCTTTTTATCTGATTTTGATGGTGCAACAGGTTTTGCACAGCTGTTTTTTTAACTACAGTTTTGGAAACTCCTTTATTTTTGACAATCCACTTGCATAAAGAGGATAATCTTGTATGTAATCTTCTCAGAAATATATCCTGTGAACTTAATATATTGTGCCTAATGGTCATTTTGACTGGAAATTAGATAATTGAAGGGTGAGCTCTGACTTTCCCATTTAGCTAAAAACAGCAGTAGCAGCATTTTTTTTTCAGACTCGGTTTTGTCTGTACTTGTTATCAGAGTAGTGGAGTTTCATTGAATTGTGTTTCTAATTGATTGTCTGTTGGCTTTGTTTATTGATATTCTAGCACAGTAAAATTCTGCAGAATATTCTGGATACATGTGATTGTAAATCAAAAGGAAACAATGCCATACTGGAGTCTATAAAATGTCAGTCCAGTTAGAAAAATCCCCCCAGACGTCTTTTGCAGTCAGCCTGCTGGAGCTGTCCAGTGCTGAAATACTGTCAAAAGGTAGATTTTTTTGATCTCCGGCCTTCTTCTGTTTTCTGTTTTCAGATCTGTAATTTACTGCGAGTGCACTTTAGAAATGAGAGACAGACTTGTAGAAAAGTGGTCTATTTTTAGACTGTGTGTGAGACAAAGAAGGTGGGGGATTGCGGGAAGGTGGTGGGATTGAGGGAGGGTGGGGGAGAGATGAGAGAGAAGTACAAAGTCAGGCAAGCTTTAAAGGAGTACTTCGATGTTTTTCAACCTTATCTTTTTCTGCTGCATCTATAGCACATAATCAATTACAGCATATAAACTCCCTTTACTTACAAGGATGATTCCACATTTGTGTACCACTGATATAACATTTAGAAATTTGTATTGTCAGTAAAGGTAAAAGACAGTTTTGGGGGTTCTTGGTCTCTCCCCTTGAGCCTTGTCTTGTATGACTGAAAATTGTATGACTGAAACTGCCTGGAGGTGTTGCCAAAATGGCTACCAAGTGGACACACTTTCCTATAGGACTTTCTTATGGACTTCGTCTAAACCATGTTACTTATTTAAGCCATTGTTAGCAAAGAAACCTTGTAAAGAATAGATATTGTTCCTAGGATTGGTTAACATAATTTTAAATGGTTAAATGTGCTTTCTTTTTAGATTCACTGTTGAAAGTGATGAAATGTAGCTTAATTCTTTTAACGTTACAAAGGCTAAATGGCATCCCAATTGTGAAATCACCCAGAAAATTATAGAAAATCCCTTGGCTCAACAGGCATTTCTAATGGAAGGCAAAGAAAGTGTGTTTCTGTGTTATAGATGCGCACGGGTACTTGAGTACTTGGTTAATTGTTTGAGGTGCCTATATTTGAGAACTGAAGTCACTGTTCACTTATTTGTTACATTTCATCATGGGAAGAGCAATTATGTTTATTACATTATACTTTCTTACCCAGATGTGAGTGCATTTCCAGTGACATATTGGTAAGGATGAAAGGGCAGATAGAGTGCAGTTTTATCACGAACTAGGCAAACTACTCTAGAGTGTTGTCTCGGTCAAGAAACATTAAAAATATATATTTTCTGACAAGCTAATATTTTGGGTAATATGTTGCGTTACACCAGTACTGTCTCAAAAAAGATATACCTACTGCTAAAGTTTTTTTTTCTATCCCTGCAGTTGACTGATTATCCATTCCCGATGTTCTCCATGGGTATTCAAACAATTAGCCTGTTGGCTTCTGTTATAATGGTATGCAGTAGTTAGAGATTAGGTTGAAAAAAGCTGGAGTGTTCCTTTAAAAGACTGTCAGGGAGAAGATGAAACAAATTGGCTTTTATTTTCATCCTCGTTTTAATGTATTCTGGAAGTGGACTGTGAGGGACATGCTTAGCTCCTTCTCCTCAGCTAAATTGGTCTGTCAGTCACTAACACACACACACAGTCATAAGCTCATGCTCTGCAGTCACTCCAGGGTCTGATTTACAAACATCAAGCACGTCAGCCAGGATGATGCACTGTGAAGTGTGAGTGTGATGGATGAAGCTGACCTTTTTGTCCCTGTGTGTGTGTGTCTCTCTCTCTCTGTCTCTCTCTCTCTCTCTCTCTCTCTCCCTCTCCCTCTCTCTCCCTCTCTCTCTCTCTCTCCCTCTCTCTCTCTCTCTCTGTCTCTCTCTCTCTGTCTCTCTCTCTCTCTTTCTCTTTCTCTCTCTCTCTCTTTCTCTTTCTCTTTCTCTTTCTCTTTCTCTTTCTCTCCCCCCCTCAGGGCTATTCTGTGTGCCCGCTCTCAGTATTTCCGAGCGATGCTGTGTGGCAGTTGGATGGAGAGCTCGCGTCAGTGCATCACACTGCAGGGGTAGGTCAACACAACCCGCAAAACAAATGACACACACCATTTCTCTCCCTAAAGCTTCCTGTCAGAGTACCATCTACTGTAATTCTTAGTGTACTCAAACTCTAAGCAGAAGGAAAACAATAATGCTTACAATACAGACAGTCGATATAGATCATTCAACGACACTGGATCAAAATCAGAGTGAAAAACATATTTCACATTTTTAACTGACTTGGAATAACATTTTTTCTTAATTTAAAAGTGACACTCATCAAAATCATAATCTTTCAACTTTCCACTGAGTGTGTACACATTTATTTGTGCAGAAAAAACACTAAATACAAATAATATTAATACAGTATGTAGTAATTTTATGTACAGTGGGGTCCAAAAATCATTCATTACAAAAGATATCATCAGCATAACAATATATCTGGCAGACATATTGCTGTGTTGGTGGTATGTGAAAGCCTTAGTCTGTTGCACTTAAACGTTTTTGTGCAAATAATTTAACGAACAAAATCAACAAAACATGTCACTTGAGCCCAAACTTTTGCATATGACTATGTTTTTTATATTTCTGTGTGTTCCTGTTCATACTTGCTAACTAAGTGTGGCATCTGAGACTGCAGGCAGCCTACAGAGCATTAATTATTCATGCTTTAGTCTGCGTTTGTAAATCAGATAACAGACATGGCCGTGTATGTGTGTGTGTGTGTGTGTGTGTATGTGGGAGTGTGTAAGGTTTCATACACCAAACAAGCATACACTGACCTTTTACATCTCAGTTGAATTCAATACTTAATACCCTTAAAAGACTGTTTCTACATGTAGACAATACATCTGACACAAATTACTATAAAAATATCAGAATAAAATGTTTTTAGTTTTTAGTTTAGTTTATTTAGCAAGGCTATATGCCAGTGACAGGATCTAAAACACAGATCTCAGAGATTCAAACTCAAAACCAGTCTGCTGAAGATCTGGGATCCAGATTTTCAAGGATGCAACTAGTTCAGTGGAGTTGAATTGAAATATATAATAATTATACTTTTTCCCCAGACAGTGTAGTAAGGCACAGCTCAGTTACAGATTCATGATCATACATTTTGTTATCATTTCCACTATCAAGTGACCCATACTTAACTAAATAACCAGGCCGAATTTGGTTACCATTTATGCTGGGGTCAAGCATATAAAACTGAGATGTATAAGTGGAGCTATATGAAAATTCTTGACCAAAACTGATCTTCAGCGCACACTGGGCTAAATGTTGAATAGAGAGTATTTGTTCCAAATTCCATTATTTTGTAGTTATACTTTTGTGCTTAATTTTGAAAACTGAGGCTACAAGTTCTGTTGGCATGCCAGTGGGAACTTTCTTTTTGAGCAGAATGTTGTGTTTTCATGTAGTATTAAAAACATTATGTGGAGAAGTCAATGGTTTGTTGGATCCCCTCTTGATACTCTCGATACTTTCTGTAAATTTCTGAACAAAATAGAAATTGACATTTTTTTTTCCATGCAGACCACTGATTGGTCAGATGTAGTCAACACATAATAGTCACGCATCATCTTTCATGTCAACCACAATTCCTAAGAATAAATAAATAAAATTAATCCACTAACTAGCTAGAATCTGTGTGACTTTTCATAAAAAAAAAAAAATGCTTAAAAAAAGATAAATCAGAACTTGAACTCCTCCATTGTTGTTCGCGTTTACTGTTAACAGAAGCACCAGGTGGGAAACCATGCTTTCAATCGTTGTGCTGTACAATTGCTTGAACAGGGTTCAGACAAATCTGGATTCGGATTAGTAGCTGTACCATATCATGCCTTACCATGCTGTCTGGTGGAAAAAAGTGCATTAATCTTCTCAACTGCAGCATGTTCTTTCACAGTACGAACACCTTAAGCAGCTTAAAGATAATCCCCATGGAGTGTTTGTCAAGGCTTGGTATTGGTCTAAAAAACCTGCTTAATATTTTACAGTCGCATTCAGCTCATACTGCGTGTGTAAAAGGTCACGTTTTACACAAAGTGAAGTGAAACATGCTGGAATGGCACTATATTGAAGTTGGAGGGTTTGGTAGTTACATATGTGTGTTGTGTTTTAGTCTTGGTCCAGACGAGATGGAGATTCTTCTGCACTTCATGTATGGAGCAATACTGGACCTTCCTCCAGGAACCAATGTGAGGTACTATCAAATGTCCCATTAACTGACTAAAGTGACAGCTGGTCCAGTGTAGTGCCCACAGTGTCTCGAGAACTTTGTAGTACAGGCAGTCAGCTCGTAGATTGAAAGAAATGTAGTGTATCTGCGGGTTCAAGTGGCCACCAAAGTTTTTTTTAAAGTGCTAAAGAAGTCCCTAGGAGACAGAGAATTTTGTTGACTCTAAATGGTTTAACTAGACTGTTAAAATCACAATGTACTGAATCCAAATGATCAGATGATGTGTAAGTTTGCTTTACTAAAGTCAATGAACTCATGCTTTCTGAGTGCTGGTACTCCATGATAAACTAATGACTTAGAAACCTGACATAGCTTGTTATGACAGTTTTATTTGTCTCAAATTACCTCAAAGGGAACCTTAGACAGTGTTGTAAACATTAACCAGACAGAAAGCACATTTCAAAAAGGAACATTGCTATTTATTTACTTTTTATGTCTTTTACACTGATCAAAACTACCTAAAGCATCTGTCAACTGACAAAGGTTTTTGTTACCTATCAATGCCAGTAAAACTAGAAATCAGTTTTGCTGTGTGACATCAATACTGCTTTACTAGTACAAATTATGTATCACCCAGCACTGCTTTCGATGATTATGCGTTTGACAATGATAATGACAGTGATCGAGTGTATTAGTCTGTCATGTGACATTCTGTAATGTGCTGTTTGATCCTCAGTCAGGTTGTGTTAGCAGCAGACATGCTGGGTCTGGAAGGACTGAAAGACATGGCTGAAATGGTTCTGACCAGAGACTACTGCAGATTCTTCCCAAAGGTAAAAAACACTTCTTTGTTGCTACAGTCACATTACAAACCTTATTGCTTTATTCTTGATTTTTGCCGGATCACAGCATAATCGCAGCATGTACGCTTTTTTTTTTAAATCAGTGGTGTTCTGCTGACTGGATGATGACCACAGTGGAATTTAAAGTATGCAGTTAAGTGTTGGATCTCTCTTAAAAGATCACCTTTGCAACTCTCAGGCAAAAAATGGATTAGTGCCACTTTGGTTCTGTAATATGAATGTTTTTATACACCAATGCCTAATACTGCCGTGCTGTGTCTGGGATGCACATGACACAGTTTACAATGCTCCTGTTATTAGAATTAGACAAAGTGCACCCCAATTCTGAGATCTAACTTTGCTGTGTGATTTGCAGTGTGTCTGCTGTTGCGTTGAAAAAGCAGAGAGACAAATTTATCACTTTTTCAAATTTAGAGCTTAGTAAGTTGTGTTTGAAAACTAAATTCCTCAGTATGGTAAAACCACCATGAAAATTCTTCCATAATTTAATCTGCTGCAGCTTGCATGCCATTAAAACCTTTTATATTTTGTTTAATTTTTTCTCACTGAAAGCTTATTGGGAAAAAAAAAGAAAAATTCTGTTGAATTCCAAACTTGCAATATGTTGTACATATGACATTTGTACGTAGAAGAGGAGATATTTTGAATTTGAGAAAAAAGTGTTGCTATGCTTTTGTCATTTCTTTTGTCATTTCTTGACAAAAATAAAGTCAGGAGTGATTGACTCTGTTAGTACAGAATATAAATGAATTAAAAATGTAATTAATTACATATTTAGCCGCATAGCCGCCAGAACCATGGGTCCACGCAGGCACTACTTTTTAAAACACTGGGCAATGACCCATCACTTTTTGATTTGAGTTTCGGTTGCTTCCATCATAGAAAAAATCCCCACTCTACCTAAACTGCTTGGAAAACTGACCTATAGGCACGAACAGACACAGAATCAAACTCAGCAGCAGAACTAATGAGAACCAGTGAGGGCAGGACATTTCCCATACAGCAGAACCTCTGTCATTTTGTGTTTAGTGCGATACACAAACTAATGCACTTATTCACAGTTTACAGTTTCTACACTAAATGCCACTCTTAATAATTTTTACTGCCACCTTGCAGAACTTGAGCCTGCAGCTTTACCAACAGGACGATTTGGCTTTTTTTATGGAAAGGGAGAACCGTTCAAATAAACACATGCCAAGTTGAGCATTACAAGATTTCTCATTTATTTTTCAACCAGTGAACTGTGTCCTACTGTATTATTATGTTAGTTCTTTGGTGGAACCCAGAGAACCTTCAGGTTCACAATATACACAGGCACTGTTCATGAATAGGTTTATTGGAACATGTTATTATATTATTGCCATGAAATATGTTATGTGTACTGCTGATGCTGTGTACTAGCACACCTTTTTTGCCCCAGCACCTTTGGAGATCCACCCTCCACCCCTGTTTGGTTATGTAATCATGTAATTATACTGAAGTAATTATGTAATGTACATTAAATTTGACAGTAATAACTCTTAGACTGCTAAGGGGTGAATTAAATCCTGAAGCTAAGCCCTTTGGCTTTATTTGTATTCCATGTGGACTGAGAAGGAATGCATTGACTGGTGATAGTCTTGTTGGACAGTATGCCAGTTTTGGTTAACACCAGAAACTGTTGTTTTATCTGTTACTGCCTTCTAGGGACAATGTTATGTGAATTTAATTTGTCAGAGAATGTGGTCTGGGCAATGGTTCAGCTCCTCCAGAATTTGCTGTCTTGCTGCCAAAAAATTGTGCCAGTATCCTTGAGGTTATGATGACAGATTCAGTTTAGTGCATCTGGTGCAAAAAAAAAAAGGAAAAAACTGAAGTGAACCAAATTGCAAAGTCCTGCCATGTCTTCTGCTCGTTAGCCTGTCTCCTGAAGGGCCCTCTGTCTAACTGCAGTGTGTTCTCTCTCTGAATCTTTGACAAGCACTGCAGCGCCTCATCTCATACGTGTCTACCCCCCTGCAGATGGATGCAGCACGTCCCAGATATGAATACAGTCTGAAGTTAAAGCTGTTGTCTAAAATGGAGAAATTCTTTCCTCTCTGATAATTAATCTTGTCATTGGTAGTCCATTCAGAGACTTTGTCTTTGTTATCCTTAATCTATTCTGCCCTCAGAGTATTTGTGAGCACGCTTGGTCATTGTAAAACGGATGAGTATGTGCAGTTGGAGCATTCTGTGTGCCACTGTGTTTTCTGTCACTGTACAAAAGAAGCTCTTTTTGCCTTTATCATTGGCTGCACTGTACTATGAATGATTATAAGTCTTGAAAAATAAAGTAAGATTATTGAGTAAGAAAGCAAAGAAACTCTGTAAATGTCAGGTATTTGAAATGTAAATAAAATTGTTATATAACTAGCCTGCAAACTATATAGCTCTCCTAACTGCTGTGCTGGTTTGTGTCATGAGTGAATGGCTAGACTTCTTCTCCCTCCCTGTTTAGTGAGCTAAAGGCACGCATGGCCGCAACGTGTACTGAAGTTCAAGCCTTTGTTTGTAATACTGGAACATGTTGAGGAACAGAACAGCAATTTTAGTAAAAGACCTCAATTATGCATTACCGACATTGAAAAAATGTTTGATTTTAATAATTATGTTTGTCATTTTATTGCCTGCTCTGTGGTTAAGAATCTTCCCTCACTCGTTAAACTGAGAGCTGTTTTGTTTGTGTCTATGAAGGTTTTCAGTTATCCAGTTCCAGAAGAGATTGACCATCTAGAACTGGAGTTGCGTGCTTCCGTTTAACACCGTAGACGTTTTCCACCACTGTTGGTTAGAATAGCAGTTTCCACGCTTACCGTAGCACACTGACAGACTCATTCCTTTTGCTGTGTTTCAATTCTCATGATGTAATAATATGGTCTCTCTGGATGTCTGATATGGGTACGGTTGAGACTTGGTCAGGCGTAAAATGACACACATTACAGGTTCATGCTGATTTCAGCCTGTTCTCCCCTTCAGGGTTTGCTGGAGCAGACTGTTAAGTGAGAGAACTGTGAAGACTGACTAAAGCATGAATTTAATGAGTCAGAGTTTTGACACGTCCTCTCTCTGCTCCTTATTCCAGCCCGTTGAAGGAGTTCAGAGGAGCATACTCGAGTGCCTTGCCATCAGCCATTCCATCGGCCTTCAGAATCTCTACAGCTCCTGTGTTGGGTAAGTCTGTTTGGAAGGACAGCTGAAATTAGCAGTGTTGGACTATCTCAACTAAGTTGCCAAGTCAAGTCATGTATCAGATGATTAATTGCTTTCATCTATATATTTAATTATTTATGTCTTTTTTTTAAATTAGTGAACTGTAAAAACCTTACATATTTCTGCAAATGAAAATTTGAACCATGTAGGTGAGACTCTAAGCATCCTTGTATTTATGTTTTGTGTACACTATTTGTGTGTTTGTTGTTTTAGACCTATGAGGGCACTACAAAGGCAGTAGGGAGTCATTCGAGATTCAACATATTTTACAGTAGCAGCTGTAATCAAAACAGGGCGCACATTATACAACATCTAAAACCCTCTAAAATCCATCTAAAATCATTTTTGTCATGAGGGTACACAGACGAAATGATAAGCCTATGAGATAATGATGAGTTTTTGGTATGAAAAAAAATCATAATCATAATATGATTTGAGAAATGCAAACTGGTGCCTGATTTGAAACTGAAAAGAGAATAACGACATCATAAACACTATAAAGGCTGCTATTTGGGTGTGGTCGGCAAGTGGCTCTTCTTTCTGTCTCCACAGTTTGTTACGCACACAACATGCACGTGTGTGTCCTTGCCTTTTTTCCCTCTCTCTTCTAGCTCTTTCTTGGCTATCTGCCACACCTGCTCCAGCTAATTAACTTCTGCAGAGGTTATTAATTGGTGTTGGGTAAGGGGAGCACTAACCTGTTAGGGAAAAAAAACTTTTGGCCATATCGTGTTGCACTGTAAGGACAAGCTCTTGAAATGGGGGGTGGGGTGCGGTTCTGTAGAAAAAGGGGAAGTTTCTAATGCATTGGCACAACAGCAGCCATAACGTACTTTTTCTGATACACAATATAGCTTATCTAAAACATTCAGTCGCTGTATTTATAGGTGACTGCAGTTCACTATTACTGTTCAAAAAGCCTATTTGATTGGGAAAACTTCTCATTACATGCCATTATAGATTGTTAATAAGTAAATTAGTAATAGTTTAATGCATTAATTAGATATTGTAACCCCCTGAATTTCAGGTTGTTTTCAGAAACAAGTTATCCTGCTTGATTGAGAAGAGTTTATTGACAGGCTTATTTACATCATACATTGTGGGCAGATACGCCCCTAAGCATTGGTGGAAATATTTGAACCATGTGTCGTGGATACTTACTGTAAGAGTCCGTATGTGGTTACGCACTTCAAGTCTTTGCTCTTGTACTTGCTGTTAGTTCGGTAGCAGTTAACAAATAATTTTTGGTTGCTGAGTATTAAGAAGATCATTAAAGAAGTTTCATAACTGAATAATTGGCAAAGGAACTAACACAACCAAGTTAAGATCAAACAAAATTAGCACAGCAGATTTGCTTGTTTTGTTAGGTCATACATCCTTATACTGCTGTCCTGCAATATTTTAGTACTAAATTTAATGTTCTATATAGCTAGGAAACTCTTTATCTCTCCAGTGCAACGGTAGACATCTTCCACTACGGTTCTGTTAGGATAAAGCGTGATGATATATAAATTTACCTCACTTTTGAGGTCATGGAGCACGCCAAAAGTAGGTCAGTGTACAACAGTTGCCCAAGTGCTATTGAACGTTTTGATGCTAATCAAATTAAATGCGACAAACAGTTTTATCCTTCAGGCAGTGTAGGAAAAAACAACACTGACCTTGTTAGCGTCTTATTGGCTAGTGTCTTATGGAAGCAAAGAAATACTTTACATACTGCTGATTCCCATGCAAATTTATCTGCTCTGATTTTTATATTTAATTTGTATCACAGTAATTGTTAAAGTAGTTGTATATTAGTGTTTTACTTGTGCACTAACCCACAATTCGATTCATGACAGCGGGTTCATGATTCTGCTTTCAAATATTCATTACAATACTTTGAACACAATTTGAATGAAGAAAAATGACAGAAATCATGTTGTTACACAACTTGCAACTCTTGATCTGGGAGGCAGATGGAGTCCTAGACGGAGGTGCTGATGTGTAGTCTTTGCTGTTCAAACATTGCATTACATGGCGTATTTAATAGAATATCCATCTATGTGTTGTTATGATATCACAGTGTCACAATACATTGTCAGGCCCCTAATGCATAACATGTGTGTCAGTAATGTCACTTAAACAAAAGGTCATGTATAATCTGCCTTTCTACCTGTGATCTGAGGTCTTTGTGTACCTGATGACTTTTGCAGATGTAGATTTTGTTAATATAGATTTAGCATGTTAGTTTAGCTAATCTGCATTGTGCTGTTCAATTCTGTTGCTCTTCATTCTGCTACTGCGCAAAAAACAGCTCAGAAAAGCATGAGAAAGTAGGTCGAGTTTTTCCCAGCGCCTTGGATGTGAGATGTTTTCATGCTGCCTCTGCTGTGGGTAGGAGTGTGAGGTGAGTCATGCGTAAAGAGCCGCAGTATTTTAAACCATGCTCACAGCGCAGAGCTGCTCTTAGAAATATCAACAGCTCTCCAAACTAGGGTGGAGCGATATTGCAAAAATAACACAATATTTGAAATAATTTTCATGATATTTAGTATGTATCATATTTCATTTTGGTTTTGAGGTTTGACTAGTTGAAACACAAATAATGCATTTTTTAAGGAAATGCCATCAGAACCAATAAACACAACGATTATTTTTTATTCTTCATTGTAAGACATCCAATTAAACAGGGTGAATTATGCTCTCTTGGGCTCCCAGCATCATCAGAATTCCCAACAATAGGGTGAAAACTTAAACAAGTGTGCCTCTTCCAAACCGCTGTTTTGTAATAGATGTACTAAGAATGTAACAATACAACTTATTGTATAGTGTGTCATTCGATATGAGCCTCTCAACTTAATATGTACAGGCATCAAACAATACATTCAACAGATTGAAGCAAATAAAGTACTCATTGTAATACTGCTTATATTGTATTAAGTAAATTAAAAATGAGGCAAGCAAGCGAGCCCACACTGTAAAAAAAATACTCCTAGTTAGTGTATATTAGTTTGTGGCTAGCATATTAGCTCGTGGCTAGCACATTATTATAAAATATTATACTATTATAATATTGAAAGCTCTAATAAACAGAAAAAAAAGAAACATTACCATGGTACCATAATGCCTATGGATGCATGCAGTTGTTGTGGAAGAACTAAAACCTACAGTGTGCTCAGAAAAACATATTGTGGCATAAATGATTGTGATATCAATATCTTAGCACCTTTTTCGGCCACCCCTACTTTAAGAAAAGAGCAGTAACTGCAATAAGCAGTAAGAAACAAAAGTTGTATTTCTTTTTAAGATGATAGGTGAAGATATTTAAAGTTGTTATTATTATTATTACCGGTAGTAGTAGTAGTAGTAGTAGTAGTAATAGTAATAGTAGTAGTACGACATTTCTTTGACCTGGAATGTAATGTGTATCTCTTCTCAGATGGGTTGCTGAGCATTTTGTGAAGTGCTGGTCAGAGAGGAGCTTTGCTATCCTTCCTCAGGAACTACAGAGAGACTGCCTCAACACCGTCATCAAAAACATGGTGTGTTCCTCATATTCACACACATGCATGCACACAGCCAGAGAGTCTCAGCCCTCCTTGTCTGTCCATTTTTTTTTTTCAACCACAGGGCAGGAAGTCATTAATAGCCCAAGCTGTATCCTGCTACAGCTGGTTTGGAGACTGGACGTTGAGCATGGAGTAATTAAGGGCGCTAATTGAGTTTATGTATGTCCCTGCAGCTGGAAATGGACAGCTCGTGACCTCTTCAGGCACGATCTGGCTGCTTTCCCTCTCACACACACACACTTTCTGTCTGACTTTAGTGGCAGTACTTTCATCCAAATAGCCCTGTGTGTGATGGAAAGGTTGGAGGGGCGGCCAGCTATGATGTAAATGCCGGTAGATTGAATTACTTCAGGAAATGTTCAGTGGTTAAATGACATGACTGAATGTGTAGACACTTTATTATTCCACACAGTGTTGATTCATTTAAAGGGCCCATATCATACATTTTTCTTTTATTTTGTTGTGTGGGTTTAAGTACTAAAAATAGTCATAAGTAATTTTTACCTTCTAGCTCTCTTTTTCCTAGTCTATCTTTATCCCTTAGAATTAAACAGGATGTTTTAGGTACTTTGCCTTCAAGACTGATACATGTAAATGACTTCCAGCAGCCCTGTTTCATGCTTTACTTAAAAGGCAGTCCAGGCTGAAACTTTTCTTATAACTTCAGTGTGAATGGGTGGGGCTAAACTGCTGCAGGTTGGAAATGTAAATGCGTTGGTTTCTGTGACCCAATAAAGGGCTGTTTTTGAATTATAATTTCCATATATGGACTATGTGGACTACATACTACATCAAACTCTTTCATTAAAAAATCAACAAATTAAAGTGCTTCACCCTAATTATTATTTAACGTAACATTAAAAGTCTAGCCCTAAGTACTCTAACTGGTATAGCAGCTTTAGCATACAAGCATACCTGAATGGGTGATCCCTTGATATTCCATGTGTGCAATTATGGTGTAATCCACTGTGCTATCCTTTGCAGTGACTGATTCGTTAGTCTTTTAAAAAAAAAAACTAAATGCCCACCACTAGTCTCTATGTATTTGTCAGCACCAGCAGCCCTAGCATCTCCTCTAAAGGCAGTATAGAGCAAAGGCCTTCGAATCCAGGCCTTCCTTCCAGTTTCTAGTGCTAGGTGGCCAATCTGTTACATTAACAGTTCAATTAAGTACCAGGGATGACGAAAGCCAGGACCAGAAATCTATATAGAATATATCTATATTATAGTGGAAAACACTAACACATGGCTCTCTTTTGCAGACGGTGCAGAGTGTGGTGTCCGTACTGTGTGACAGTGAGCAACTGATTGGCAGTCTGCCAGAAGTCAAGTGGGCAAAGCAGGTTCAGAGTCTGGCCAGTGAGCTTCAGGAGCAATGTTTAAACACCATCGTCACGCACCTGCCCAGAGTTATACACACCACTGCCTTCCATAGCCTCCGCAGGGTAACACACACATATATACACACACACACACACACACACAAACACAAACACAAACACACAGTCAAAAAAAAAAATAATACAAAAAAAATATACAAATTTGCTGTTTTAATGTGTTGATCCATTATGACTTTGATTAATCAATTAGTTGAGAAACAAAATCTGTAGATATTAGTCTGGCAGTAATGTTTTTCAATAAATCAAAAATACAAGGATTACGCTTCCTTTCTAAAAAAAAAAAATAACACCTACCCTGTCGTCTTATTCATATTTTCTTTCATCAGTGGTACAGCATATGTATATGTATGTGTTATATCATAATTTTTATCAGTCCACTTTCAAGTATTGAAAATAGAGTTTTAAAAAATATCTGTTACATAAAGCTCTTCGTGTGGATTGGGGACTAAAACCCAGAATAAAAACTAAAAGCAACCAAGCTAGTCTGTGTACTTTAGCAAACAAGCATCCCTGATAACCGATAAGTACAGTTTTTGTTGTCCCTTCAACAAAAATGAATTGTAAATATTTTACAAAATATAAACGAAAACACGGACTTACCTTGCTCTGCTTTAAGCTTTAGCTCAGCTAGCCACTTTTCTCACATTCCACTCCAGCAGGAAACTTTTCCGCAAAAGTAGAGTAGTTTCTTGTAAAATGTCTGTTTTTTTTTGTTTTTTTTTCTTCTCATTCTCCACCTTTTTGTTCTAATTTTCTCGTTCCATCTTAAATGGTGCCTTAACAGTTTCTCTTTGCAGATTAAACATATCAGGAAACCAGCTGAGTGCTTAAAAGTTCACTTGTCTCCAAATTAATGATGCCCGTCCTAAATCTCTCTCTTTGCCTCTCTTTGGTTGTTGTCTGCGTTGCTGTGGTGACCAACAGTCTCCACTCCAATCTTTAGGGGTAACAGTGAATTAGCAGTTATACATTAACTCCAGCATTTAAGACCATTTATTGTTAAAACTGTGTCAGAACGATCAGCAGAGCTTTATTTATTTGCAAAGGAGGTTTATTTTGTTTTTACCTAAAATCTTTATTCTGCTGTGGAGCCGCAACAGACAAGCAGCTATTAAAATGCAGCTCATCCCTTTGTTGCCATTTTTTATCATCGACATCATTGACAATGTCGATTAGTTGTTGCAGGACTAGTTTGAGCTATATTCCACCTGAGAACGGTGTTGAGCCTTTGTCTTACTTTTTGGCCAGAATTTATAAACTGTTTGGACCAGAAAACGAAGCATAAAATTCTGCTTCATCTGTCTAAAAGCTTACACACTTAACAAGATGCTTCATTTTATACTAGCAGGAGGTCTGTGGTGCCAAGTGGCAGATAGTACAAAGCACAACTATAGCACATAGGAGGCATCACAGAATGCATTAATGGAATAAAATGTTACATATTTTTTTATCATGTTTGTTATCAGCTGTCTAAATCTTCAAAACTTGCTATTTTTGAACTAAATGTTATGAGGTGAATTGTAATGTGACTAGGCTATTAAAGACTGCAGACAGACACCGTTCTCAGTGTAAACTTCAAGCCGCATCACTTACTATGGATTTGTGGTCTTAGGCTGGGTTTAATATAGTAGAACAACAGGTAGATGCTGAGTGGCATCATTGTCTCTAGTGAGTAGCCTGTGGCCTTAAATGGGGGAGGGGTTAATGACTTTAAAAAAGTGAATATCAAATTTGGTTAAAACGTCCATCCCTAACACACAGATATGCGTGCACACACACTTTAGATGTGTTTGTAACAGTGCTGTGATTGGCCGTCTCAGAGAGAGGAGTTCACGCGTGATCCTACGCTGCTGAGGAAGGTCTGTGTGGCTGTGCGGGAGGGCGTTACCGTGGAGAACTGCTGCGAACTCTTCAGCGCTGTGGACCAGCTGAGTGGCCATTCAGACGCTGACATACTGACAGCAGAATCAGCCAATCAGGAGCAGGAGGAGGTGGAGGTAAAGAATGAAACGGTGAATCAGAAGAGAGTGTAAAAATAGCATTCCACTACAACTAAAGCTAGTCTCATCAGAATCCCACTTAAGCCTGATCCATCCTGTCTTTAGCCACTTTGCTTACAAACTTGCATCTCCATTTTTTTTTAACTTTGTTAGTTTAAATTTGAGTTTTGCATTTTGTGAATATATCATGATGAATGGACCAATAGGAATTGTCCAGAATTACTCTGAATAAAATCTTGTTACATTAACATACATAAAAATTTCAGACATACATGGTTTTATTACAACATAGATGACATGCTAAATGTACTGATTTTTGTCAAGCAAAACAAATGCAGTAGTATTGATGGGGTATAATGCGAATTATTATTGCACTATTGTTGTTACACTAAGAAGGAAATATCCTAATCCTTTTGAATTAAATGTTTACCTCTTAAACGTAAAGGATTCTGAAAATGGATACTAGTTAGTGGAACTGCTAGAGTGTCTGTGTGAGATATGCAGTTAGTCTTCTGTGTGTGTGTGTGAGGGAGAGATGACACGTGGCGGCAGAGTGAACACTTCTTTTGATCCTAGGATTTAAGCTGTGCTATAATGTCCCCGGCCGGATGGATTACAGTAAAGTGACACCACAAATAGAAAAGGCCACAGTAAACAACCCCAACCACACCAGCTCTGTTCTACCTCTTATCTCTTTATTTTGCCGTCTTTGTTTTTTCATTATTTCCCCATCATTATCTGTGCTGTTTTCTTCATCTATCCATCCATCTATCCATCCATCCATCCATCCATCCATCTATCTTCTCACTTTTTCATTGTATTTTTACTTCTCTTTTCATTTATCCCTCATTTACCTCATATTCCTCTGTCTCTTTCTTAACCTTTCTCTTTCCTTTTCTAGCTTTCTTTATCTTTATCTTTATTCTTTTACTTTATCTTTTTCTCTGTTTTTCCTTATCTCCCTTTCTTTGCCCCTCTCTCTGTTGTTTTTTTTTTTCTTGTTCTCTCTCACTTCCTGTAACTCTTACACGCTTTTCTCTTGCTGTCTGTGTGTTTCCCTATTTTTATTTTTCTCTATTTCTGTTTAATTTATCTCTCCCAAACCTCTCTCTCTCTCTCTCTCTCTCCCCCCCTCTTAAATCACGTCTCTGGGGAAACAGCAGGCTGGATCAGAGAGGAGCTGGGTGTGGCCGACAGCAATCTGCCTCTGAGCCTATTCTGGCCAGAGAGGCTGAAAAGGGGAAAAACATGAATCAGAGAGAGAGAATGGGGGAGAGTCAGTCCCTTTGGTAGGACCACTGGCCGGTGACATCATCATCACCATCATCAACATCACTGCAGCTCAGGGGGTTTCTGGGAGGGGAGCCGGGGCGGGTTGCCACGGAGACCGGCTCTCAAGCAGCTGCACATTCACTCCTCCTCATGCTGTTGTTTCCCCCTCCCTCCTCCTCCTCTCTCTGTCTCCCTCTCTCTCTCTCTGGCTGTGGTTCAGCCGTTCAGGCGTGAGGTGTGTTTGCTGCACGCTCGGCTGTGGACCTTTCTGCTTCAGTCTCTCTTTGCAGTGCGGCACACGCGAGGATGGGACACGCTGCCGCCGAGACACAGAGAACGGATACTAGCAGGTAAAGAGAAGAGAGGGATAAAAAAATCAATATGTACATAAGCTGCATATTGTCATTGTTGTATCTCCAAATGGTAATTTTATATGAGAGAAGCAAAAAAAAGGTTCTTAAATACTAGTTTCGTTTTTAGTAATTTTGGATCATATTTGTTGACCTAATTACCAAGAAAATGTGCAATTTTTTAAAATGGTTTTACAGAATTTCTTTTTAAAAATGTATGGTTTTCTTATGGCAGTGACAATATATAAAAAAAAATGCATGAGTGTTTGTAAAACCCATCACACCTTTTGCTCTTTTGCTCAGAGTCAAAAGCCTGACTGCAGTGAGGGAGACTGTTTGTTCGTTAGCCTGTGTGGTGCAGCACTGAAGCACTGTCTCTATCAGTAATGGTTCACATAGCAGACACTGCTGGATATATTGCGTAGCTTTCTGACTGCCACTGCCGTGTGCTGAGCAACAGCTCCGTTGTGGCTGTTGGGTATGTGCAAAGCACTCCCTCATTCTCATTCTGATGCGTAGCTGTAGTGGTTTGATGAAGTGGAACATTAAAGCTAGAATGTGCAAGCTCAGCGGCTTTGGTGGTTTTGAAATCGGTGGTCATAGGAGGCTCAAACCGGTGCTGTTTATCATGAAACACTATAGGAAATAAATAATGATGTTTGTGTTTGGATTTTTTCCCTAGTGATTTGCATTTGGATACACAGAGGGCATGAATTATGCATTTGTCAGAATGTTTTGGTGAATACTGACAGGTTTGATTTCTGTGCATTCCACCTCCAAGTAATGTATAGCTCAGTGTGGCACATGCACAATTGCTTGCAATTATATGTTGGCATGCAAGCAGAACCATAAATGCGTGCACACATACACAGGCATGCTGCATTCTTTCAAAGAGAGGGCGGTTTGCTGTGTTCTTTGGCTAAGTGTAAAGCTGATTTGAAAGCTGAGCTCAGTTGCATCTTTGTAGGGAAAGAGGCTATGCATGGTTAATTTTCACCTCCACTTTGATCTTAATGAGGACAGGACAGGATTGGTTTGGAAGGCAGTGCAATGCAGTCACAATTACAGTCACGGTGCTGGGCTTTTGAAAAAGCCATCGCATTAGTCTATGTAACTGTTGCTCAGAAATATTAACGTATGTTAGCTTAATTAGAGTAGCAGTGTAGCATATTTGTGTGTGTGTGGTTTTTTTAGCTTATGTTAAATGTGCAACAGTTTGTCAAATGCTCTGAACATGGCTGTTTATCAGTGAATGTTTCATGTTTTCAGGGTCCATATAATGGAAGACCAAATTTTACCAATGTTTTGCTAATACATTCCATATATGCAAACTAAACAGCAAAAATACCCTGTTTAGAATTCACTGTTCTTGTGATGTCTCATTCATATTTTTGCCCCGCCCATTCATGTTGAAGATATAAGGAGTGTTTCAGCCTGGGCCGCTTGTTGAATGAAACACAATACAGGGCACCAATCAGAACAGAAGTTATTTACATATGTTGGTCTTGAATGCACAGTAACAGAAATAGCCTCCTTAAGGGACAAAGAGAGGTTGGAAAATAGTCCTGTAAAAATTAATTTTGACTTTTTTTGGTGCATAAAACTACATAAACACAATGCATGGACATCGGGGAAAATAAAATACAAGATAAATAAAATTTAAGAAAGGGGCCGTTTATATAATATATCTTTGCTGTTGTAGAAAAACCTGAAGTCTCAAACATTAACTTTGTGGAAGAAGTTAAAAAAGTTTAAAAGACGAGAGAGACGACAGATCAGAATTTCAGTTTTATTTCCTGATATTTACATCTTCATGTGTTAAACAACTTGTAAATTGGCACCTTTGGTGGCAGACCACCAAAGTTTTTAGGTGAGCAAAAATATAGAAGCAGATAAATAAAAGTAAATAACACTTAATATTTGGTTGCATATCTCTTGCTTGCAGTATCTGCATCAAGCCGACAAGGCAGTGACATCACCAAACTGTCACATTCTTCTTTTGTGATTGTTTTCCATGCTTTTAATGCCGTTTCCTTCATTTGTTGTTAGTTTTTGGAGGGTGCTCACTTTAGTCTCTTCTTCAGAAGATGAAATGCATGCTCAACTGGGTTAAGGTCTGGTGTTTGACTGGACGAGGCTAAAACCAATTTCCATTTTTTCACCTGATTTGTTAACAGTGTGTTTTGGGTCATTGTCTTGCTGCATGAGGTTCCTCCAGATTGGAAGCATTTGTCTGTTAATTGACAGATAGAATGTTTATGTAGACTTCTGAATTTATTCTGCTGCTACCATCATGAGTTACATCATTTGATAAGAGTTAGCAACAAGTAGCACCTGTCAGTGTCCAGTAGTTTTGCTCACTTGCAAAAAATGGTGGTTTCACATAAAGTGTGCCATGTTCTAATTTGTTTTACACGTCTAGATATGTTGGCCTTGCTGTCCCAATACTTTTGGAGGAGACTCATCAACAACACTCATCATGAAATATTCACACAAGGGAGCTGATGTTCTTAAATAGTGTATATATAAAAAATAAGTTTGAGGTTGTGATATGACAGTGACATTATGTGATGTTGTTGTTGTTGTTGTTGTTGTTGTTGTTGTTGAAATATTTTTTCTGTGCCCCCCTTCGGTCACCCCCCCCTTTCCCAAAACAGCTACTCTTGATACTGGAGACTGCAGAAGGCTCAGTAAAAAACCTGTCCTCACCAGCTCTCAGGTAATTTGTCATATTTACTGTTATCTGTGGCACCACTGAAAACCTTGTATGCTTGTCATAATAAGAGTTCTTCATCTTTAATATAAATGAGGGAGCGGAACTGGAGCTTGCAAGCTATCAGTGAATCACTAATCCACCATTCACTGAACCGCTGGAATGTCATGGCAACCGTGAGGTAGCATGAGTGACACCTCAGAGGGCTGATCTCTGTCTGAGAAACCTGCAAACAACCTGATTCTGTTTTTGAAGAGCTTAGATGTCTTTTAAAGGAATAGTTTAATTTCAGAATCAAAGTCAGCAAAGTGATGTTTACCTCTTTAGTTTTGTGCTGGAACTATGATGCTATTTGCATGAAAATAAATATTGTTGATGAAGAGAGGCTGTATCACACACCAGCAAACACTATACTTTTGACCACAAAGTCCAACAAATATCAACACAATAAAGCTGAAATATACACCGACATGCTAAAAGTCATGGACAGGAACTAGTATAGTGTAGGATCCCCTCTAGCCGAGCAAAGTGCAGCAACTCGATGTGGCATCAATTCCACAAGTGGATAGAAGACGTTTGGAGGGATGGTGAGCCATGCCATCTAGACAGCCAGCCACAGCTCCGTGGTATTTGTAGGTGCAGGATCTCGGGTGTGAATGGACCTCTCCACCGCATCCCATAAATGCTCGATTGGGCTCATGTCGGGCGAACATATAGGTCACACCATTCATCTGAACTCTCCAGAAAGCTCCTCGAACCAATTCTGGACAACTTGGGGCCCTATGGCACGGTGCATTATCCTGCGGGACTATCCCTTCATTGTGGGGGTACATGAAGTCCATGAAGGGCTGGAAATGGTCACCAAGTAGTAAAACGTAGCAGTCACCTGTCAATGATGTGTTTAGGTGGACCAGTGGATCCAACCCATGTCATGAGAACACACTCCACACCAGTATGGAACCACCATCACCCTGCACAGTGCCTTGTTAACTGGGGTCCATGGCCTCATGGGGTCTGCGCCACACACAAACCCTACCATCAGCCTGAAACAATTGGTATTGTGACTCATTGGGCCACGTCCCATGTTACCAGACCTGCGGGATATGCATGTGGGGCCTCCTGCATTGAATATGTTTTCTGCCAGAGTCTCTTGTCTGTTCGCACAAGCAATTCTAGTGAGATGCCGGCAATCATTAAGCACCCATGGGCGGTCACTGCTTCATCCCCTGTGGGTGGTAATGCTGTGAATTGAGGAATGTTAAATGCCTGCACAACTTTGGAAATGGGATGTCCTATCTGTCTGGTGCCCACTATCATGCCTCATTCGAACTCCAGTAATTCATGTCACCCTGCCATGAGCACACTGGCCAGTGTTTAGCCTCACTCACAAGATAACACCTCACAACTCACACACCTGTGGGTGTTCCCCTGAGGTGATGCCACTTTACATACATCAGTTTACATACTGCTATCCCATGAGTTTTGGCATGTCAGTATATATATTTTTTACATTTGCAGTGTTTTTTTTTTTTTGATGAATTTATGAAAAGGTTAAATAAATTAACAGTTGTTTGCTTTGGATGACTTAGTTTTAACAGCACACTGAAACCCTGTCATGTGGAGGCTGTACTATGCAGCCAACATAAGGGCGAATAAAATACGTGTGAAGCCTGAATTTTGTCTGTACTTTTGACCATTTTTATAGATTATGGTATGTCACGCAATGTCAGAAACCACATAGGCAAGTCCATTTGAAGTCTTTTTGAGAAGTTTGTGACACTTTAGGCATGCAGTTTTCACAGTGCTAATTAGTAGTGTATAAGCTTCTATTACTTGTTAGCTACATTAGCCTTGTTGCTCCAGTACGAACCTTAAAAAATAAACTTGCGACACTAAACATTCTTTGGCTGGTTGAATTTGCAGTAAGTGAAAATTGTGTACATTATACCATCAAACTAGGCATCAGGAGATCTGATAATAAGCCTTGATGAGCTCTTGACTGGGTGTAGGCTTAGTCAGGAGATCTAAAGGAAGACTGCCTTTGCCTCTGACGCACAAATCCCTCACAAGCCCCTTCGGTGGTGTAGTCACAGCAACCTGGCCATATCTGACAGGAAGTCATTTAAAGGCCATGGAGCTGGAGTTTTTTTTCTCCCACTCACTGCATGTCTCTATGGGCCACTAGCATGTCTCTGTAATTTCTTTGCTTGACACAAAAAGCCTGTCTCTTCACAATCATTTATTAAGATGAATGCAAAGACCTTGAGCTGGCGGGATCTACACTGTGATTTAAATGAAGTGTTTGAGTTTTGGCTAGAAAGTCTCCATTGTTCTGTCTTGTGCTTGATGACATATTCATTGAACTGATACTCTTGCCAGAGCAACTTAAATTGTGGAAGCCAAACCGACACAATGTGTCCAGGAATTCATACTGCAATTCATATCCTAAAAAATAAAGACCCAATCATAGCTTGATCTTTATTTTCTAGTAAATTTATATATGTATATGTAAGTAAGTGTAGACATTGAGGACAAATAATAAATGCAGTCATTAGCAATAAGCAAACATTGAATCCCTTTCCTTTGCCAATGTTATTTTTTTGCTTAATTTCAAATTTTGCTCTCTGGTTTACTGAGCAGAATGAGGAAGGGGGATAGACAAAAAAAATGAACGTAATATAACATTTTTGTTGCTTTATTTCTTTTCTGTTTGTTTTTCTGCTCCAGCAGAAGCTTGGAAAATGTCCTTCAGGCTCGTCATCACCGTGTGACAGTCCTCCAACTCTTCGGCCCCTGAAGGCCCTCAGGGGTCCGCGTCTGTCTGCTGGAAACTCACTAGAGAGCACTATGAAATCCGACAATCTGACAACACATACGACGGCTGCAGCCACAAAAACTAAACCTGGCACCAATAATAAGACTGACAAGGCTCAGCTGGCCGGCAGTCTGGCTAAAAAGAAAACGCCCTCTGCCGCTAAACCTGTGCTGAATGGTAGTGGTGGCCCAGCAGCCCGGAAGGACAATTCAGCTAATAATGGCTCCCGGGGGTCACCCACTGGTAAGGTGGCCCAGGAAAAGAGGACCGCAACAGGCGCCAGGCCCAAGTCTTCCACTGCTGGGCCTGCTGGAGCAGTAGGACAGGTTACAGCAGGGAAAATACACAAAGCTGCGGCATCAGGGAAGGACTCCACTCAGGGCTCTGCCTCCGACAGCCCAGGGAATGCCCACTGCACCCAAACCACGCCCTCCACATCAGGCAGTGCATCACCAGAGAGCAGCATGAGTAGCCCACGCAACAACATCCATGATGCTTCTGCAGGTAAGATCATAAACAACTCTACAACCAATTCCTCATTTGAACCCTTTAAACCAGTGGTGCAAAACCTAATAGTTTAGTCCAGCCTAGCAGGTTGATGAGTCAAGTCTTCTGTCCTGTATTCATCTTCTGGATTTTATTGACGCAAAGTCACAGTGACTAATTAATTCAGTAGAGATCCTTTCTTGCCATTCTTTGGTGCATTTTCCTAGTCATGCATATAGGCAAACATTGCATTGAAAAATGTCAAAGGTGAACTGTGAATACTAAGTATTCCAGGAGATATGGACAATGCCATAGTTCTTCTGCGACATAAAGCACAAACCCATTTGTTTAATTTGCTCCCAGCATGTGGCTGTGCCAAATGAATTTACCATGAAACCCATCATAGTTAAGAGTATGACCAGTATACTCGGCAGGTACGGACAGACCAAAATACAAGCTAATTGCACTAAACACTAAAATTGCTGCAGTAGCATGTCAGTGAGGAACATATGCATAACCTGCACATCATCACTATTCTACCAAATCATATATCTCCAAAATGGTAACTTTATAGGAGAACAAACCATTTTTAATTTTAATTTGCATTGATATGATTAGATAATTTCTTGAATTTAGAAATATTTTATAGAAATTGTATTTCATTTCTAGTGGTCCCTTTCCCATGAGATTTGAATGGCACCTGGCATTTTTAAATAGGAAAAAAAAAAAAAAAACTAAAACTAAAAAGTTTTCCTATGACAGAGATGATGATGATGGTTTCACAACAGTTACCAAATAATTCATAGTAATCATTAAATAATAACTCTTAAAGAATAATAAGCCTGCAGTTTAAGGGTTAATCCACCCTATCAGCCATCTTGTCCAAGCACCAACAGCCTAAAAGCGACCATACAGCAGAAAGTCTAATTTACATAATTTTCCCCTTTTTCCCCCAAATGTTATAGATCAGCCACTACATGTGTACTATCCAAAGCTTACTTCTTTCGCTTTGAGCTGGAGCTGCAAGGCTTACGTAGCCTTTGTAAAAATGAGCAAAAGTACTAACAACTTCCAGGCTTCAGTGTATCTGCTACTTTTTTTTTTAGCCATGTGATATACTTTTGTCCATTTTTATGAATAACCTGATTCATACAACATACTTTTTTTTTCCCCACAATTATTGCGTTAAATGTCAGCTTAGTGACCGTGTTGTTCCCATGCCAAGCACCTCTGGCAGTGAGCTGTGTGTTGTGGAGGCAGGGAGAGATGCCAAATTCAGTAAAGCAGAGGCAGGCAGGCTAAGCTGGGATGGTTTTGTTAGGGATGAAAGATCGAAATTTTGGCCCGCAGAAGCTGGAGGAGCTGAGCAGAACAGCAGATGGAGTACAGCATGCTAGGGTTTAAAGGCTTGTTTTGGTTGCTGTGTGTGTGTGTGTGTGTGTGCGCGTGTGCGCGTGTGTGCGTGTGTGCGTGTGTTCGTTCAGTAAGCAGCCTTCTTAGAATTCGAACAATAAGTCAAGCTGTGCCTCAAAGTCGAAGGTCAAACCACATATGAAAACACAGGCACACACAAATGCACGGTGAAGTGTGAAGAATTAATCCCCCTGTCCTCTCACTGTTCACTGCTTCTTCACACACTCTGCACACTGTGTGTGTGTGAGCTTGTATGAAGACTGACAACAGTCTTTCTCAGTGAAAAGAGCATCATCAAAGAGTCATTCCAATCCCCAGAGAAACCAGAGAGAGCATGGGTGAAGATAGAGAAAGCATTAAGGACAGAAAGGGAAACATAATCCTAATGTAACACACTAGCCACAAGCTAACATGCTAGTCATGATACAATGATGTGATACAACACACCACATTCCCTATTATTATATATAGATACTTACCCTGTAACTAAAAAAAAGAACTTTGAAAGTTTTTTTTTTTAATTATTCTTTTGTAATGTAGGTTAGTTCAACATGATGTTTTGACAACTGGCAGCTGGCATTTTCAAATAATGTTATAAATAAATAAATAAATGATATATATACATATATATTGTGTGTGTGTGTGTGTGTTTCTCTGCGATTGTCTGATGAGCAGAGCAGGTTTTAGCTGGGCGTGAACTAAACTTAACTCGTCATTAAGCTTCTTAACTTGGCTAATGCTGACTAATGTGTTCTCCTGATTCACAGTGCAGGTGGAGTTATATAACCAACTTAGTGGAGCTAGTATTCATGGTTCGTGGTTAGCTTAGTTCTGTCCAGAATGTAACTGGTATGCAGGTTTTTTGCATATTAGTTCTGTAAAGCCTTTGATATGGTAAACATGAGTCAAGGTTGACGTGGTTTGATGATATGTGCTCTGTCTCTCTGTTCAAAATCCAATAATCCTTTTGCTTTCTAGTTCTCAGGCCAAGACCCCAAGCCAAGGCAGCAACAAAATCTCCTCTGACCAAGACTGTCCAAAAACCAGAGACGGACAAGACAAACAGGTGAGCAACACATGGAGAAAATGGCTTTTAGACCTGAAAGGCAGTGTTTCCGAGCCCCCTGCCACAAGCTAAGCTGTACTGCATAATTCTGTTTTATCTGCTTTCACACATCCGAATCATATCATTTTATGTCAACATTATCTCCTTTCTTGAGCAGAATCAGGGGTGCTAGGACAGGAAAATGCAAAATGATGCAGTGCAGGGGACTGGATTGGAGTCTAATAACACTTCTGTATGGGACATGAGCTCCCCCCTGTGGGAACAGTCTGCAAAACCCCAGAATGCAAAAAACCCCAGTGAACTGTACCTGTCATTCTCACACTCACATTACTAATGGCAAAACAGTGTTTATTCATTTCTAGAATCCTGGTTCATAGACATTGTGTTTGGTATCCCCTTGATAAATTTTTCAGGCTAGGTGCTAGAGCCTTGGTAACATTGATAGCACATGAAATATGAAAGAGTAGCATTACATCCTTTACAATGAGCTATAAGGTACCTGTACAAACGTCAAATAAATCAGATCACAATATGACAGCATAGTGGGAGTCTGTGTTACCAGAGCTTTTCTGCATGTTTAGAAATGTATGGTGAAACTGCATCTAGTTTGACTAAAATTATATTTGTGATATTTCAGTGTCCATGATAAATATGATCTCTGTTAAAAATAACAATATATCTTAATACTGAATATTAGCAAGCCTTGTCATGCACCAGTATTTATGCCTCGCTTGCCATTCAGGCCCTGTGTTTAAAATGAATATTTTTATTGTTTGCAGTGTATTTGGATTCTTAATTTACGCAGTGTGGATTCCAAGTGAAAAGGAAGCCTAGGTTAGGCTTAAATTCTTCTGTAGCCTGTGTATTTATCCAAAAAAATATGCATGTTTGACTCTTAATTTTCCAACTTCTCATAGGTTTCTTGAGACAAAATTAATTTTATGCTAAACTAACACTAGTTAAATCACACACATGATCAAAAAAAACTCTACTTCCTAATGTATCCACTGAAACTAAAACACTATGCAAATATATCAAGTAAATTTACTGTACTAATATGGAATTGTACATATTTTCACTGTAAATAGTTATGAACAGTACAAAAGTACTGCACATGTGGAAATGTACAGATATTAGGGGTGCGCGAAAAAATCGATTCTTAGATGCATCGCGATGCTGACGTGAGCGATTCTGAATCGATTCATAAATGTCAAAAATCGATTTTCTAAATATTTAATTTATAACGTAATGTTCACGGAATGCAAAAGGCGGAAATGGAAGTGGGTAAGTGCAGCGCCCGGACAGTCTCTGGCGGCACATAACAAAAACACAACTGGACGAGTGAGAAATCCGACCAGCTCCCTCTGCTTTAAAGCCAGGTTAGGTCAGGAGTCACAACTCAAATGTTTAGAAGAGCCATTTTGCCTTTCAACAAAGTCAAACCACCTTGGGAGCCACAACATTTAATGTCCAGTATGTGTTAATGTCGTAGTATGGGCTAAAAATATAAACGAGAGCGCAGATTTACTTTGCTCTGCTTTAAGCTTTAGGTATAGCCGCTTTCCTCCCATCTCCGTCAGAAAACTTTTCTTCAAAACTAGAAGAGTTTCTTGTAAAATGTCTCAGCATCCGGCTGTTTTACGAGGCTGAAGTCGCTTCTCGTTCTAATTTTCCCGTTCCACCTTAAATTCTGCCTTAGGCGCCAAATGTAACTGCTGCGCCATTTAAGGTGGAACGGGAAAATTCGAAAGAGAAGCGAGTTCATTTTCGCAACGTTTTAAAGAAAGACAGTCTCTCATTGCAGATTTAACCAACCGCGCTGCATATAAATGCGAATAAGTCCTCCAAATGTTCGTCTTAATCTCTGTTTTTTCGTTCGCTACTGGCGAGGCCAGACTTCGGGGCTATGTGACTTGCTGTCTGCTGTCTGTTCTCAGTCGTTGAGAACCAGGGCTTTCGCGCTATGCTGCGCGCTTTGGAACCAAGATTCAGCGTCCAGTCTCGAAAATACACCCCCCCCCAACACACACACACACACACACATTCTCTACAACGAGACCAACACCGAAGTTATAAAATCACTAAAGAAAACGGGAAGGATGGCTGTAACGCGCTGCGTGGACACCCATTACCACTGGATCTTATTTCAGGGTAACAGCGCATTTTTTCGCAGATGAGTGGCAGCAGCGTCTCTGAATGAGATCCTCCTAGTTCACTTGCCACATCACTTCCATTTGATTTATTAATAAAAGATATTTTAGATATTTAAAGCAAAGTATTTGTAATGATCCATAATGCATTTACATTACGGATCATTACAAATACTTTGCTTTAAAACTACCAAGTCCTCAGACAGTAGGAAGATGGAAATCCTGTATAGAGAAAAAAGATGCATCGAGATGCATCGATAATCGTTTTATAATCGCATCGCAGCCCTTTGAATCAGAATCAAATCGAATCGTGAGGTGCCTAAAGATTCCCACCCCTAACAGATATGTTACTAAATTATACAATAGCATATAAGAATTGATGGTATATGTTAAAATTACAGTAAAATATTACAATATGTAACTGTGCAGTCTTGCAGTAAAAATGGTTTTTATAACAATGAGGGAATATTATTGTTAATATGTTTATTTCATTTTGTTGTTCAACCAACAATGTATTTTATGCAATATTAAGCAGTATTTGGACACGTTGATTGTATCAGGTGCTGGCTGTTCTGTGCTGCATGATTTGACAGAAACTGCTTGTTCAGACTAAGCAGAGTGGTGGAAACTTCAGAAGTAGCGAGCTGCAGCTCTCTGCACTGTGAAAAACAGCGAAATTAGTAATGAAAATGACCAGAAATTGTATACCTTATTTATTAAAACAATACATTGTGATTTTACAAATTTACTGCTCTCTGGAGGCTTGTCTGCATACAGTCTTGGCTCCACTGGAGGCGCTCACCTTCTGAACACATTCAGACTCCTACAGGACAGCGTGTCTGCTCCACACACAGAAAACCGCACTCTAACCAAACTCATGTGATGTTTCGGACAGGGCTGAAGCTGCACGCACAAGTCATGTCTGATTGGCTAGAGTGAGTGAAATTATGTACTGTGCGCACTGAGCTTTTTGCCAAATATGCTTTTCAGTCGTGACGTTTTTACCTTTTCCTCTCACTGTTGGAGCGACGCAAGACAGAGTGAAGCAGCACCTGCGTCGCTCCAACAGTGAGAGGAAAAGGTAAAAACGTCACGACTGAAAAGCATATTTGATTGGAAATTCTTGGTGCGGGGTGGGACAGAGAGACCAACTACAGAAGTGCTGGTTGGTTGTACATTTTAAGTAATCTAGCAACATGTGTTTTGTTGATCACGGTTGCGTCAGATGTGCACATACATATAACAAAAGGCGCTTTTGTCGGCAAGGACACAAGTTCATATGCCGATACCGCAAAAAAAAATTATATTTATATGAGAGCTGTCTGTCTGTTCCCCAGCCCCACAAATAAAACAAACAAGCCCAAGGCCACAGTGAGAAGCGGAGCAAGTGTCAGTGGCTCTACAGCAGCTCGGACAGAGGCAAAGAGCAGGAATACCGCTTCAGAAAACCATGGTAAGAGATTCTCTGGCTTCAGGTGGTTGTTTAGACCTCATGAGTCAGTAGTATTCATGTAAATTAAAGCAATATTACATTACCCACTTTAATGTAAATTTATGTATGCATACATTTCCAACATTTTTTAATTGTTAAAATATATTAAAATATTGGAAAGTTATTGCTAAGACGTAATTGCTCATATCTGTTTTTTTCATTCAGTTTCTACCAGACCTAGCACAGCCCTGAGCTCCAGAAAGCCTACATCTCCCAGGAAAGAGGACGAAAAGGATGGATCCAAGGTTCCAACTACTAAAAAACTAACAAGACCCAGCACAACAGAGTCCAAACCTATCACCAAAGCAGGAAAACCCACAGTGTCATCCTCTAAACCATCTTCCACTACTCCAAATAAAGCTGTTCCCAAGCAGAAAACATCAGAAACACCAGCTGGAAAATCTTCTCCTAGATCTGCCACACCATCCAAACAGTCCTCTCCTGCTGCTTCCAAAAAGCCAGCTGCTGCAGCGAAGGATTTAGTTTCCAGCCCCAAACACTCAGAGTCCAAACGGGCCCCCCAGGAGACCAACTCTGCTGTAGAGGAAGTGAGGGAACAGGTGAGTGGACAGGGTGAGAGCTCCACAGTTCCTTTTTCGTCTGTTTCATCTCATGTTGGCACAGTTTTGCCAAAACAGTCTGCTTCGGTTCAGGATTCTGCACACGAAACAGTTATGTTGGCTTCTAGGGAGCCTTCAGTTATTGAGAAAAGCACTGATTCACAAGTTAAATCCAGCATTGAAGGGAAAACAGAAACTACAGTTCAGACAGCAGTACAAAGCAAACTGAACCCTGTAAGTACAGACACTATGCAGAGAGAGGTGGGAGGGCCAAAAGTTGCCTCAAGTCATGTGATTCCTCCTCATCACAGCACTGCAGCAGCGCAGGGAAATATTACCCAGAATTCTTCCAGAGATTCTGACTTGCCCCCTGATACCCCCTGCAGTCTGGGCAGCACAGATACACCCCTGGAGGATTCGTGGAGTGGCATACACCCCCAGGTCAGTCCTGAATCAGAAACAGCAAGTGCCACCACATCCTCGGACGACATAAAGCCACGCTCAGAAGATTATGATGCAGGTGGCTCGCAGGACGATGACTGCCACTCCCACGAGCGCGGCGCATCCAAATGCGGGACGATGCGATGCCCTGACTTCCTGGGTCGCAGCAGCAGTGACACTAGCACCCCTGAGGAGCTTAAAATGTATGAGGGCGGGGCCGGGCTGCGGGTGGAGGTGCGGCTTAGAGGCAAAGAGGCAGAGACTACAAGCGAAGAAGAGGTGGGGCGTCGGAGGCCACCATCCTGGCTGAGGCGTGATCAGGACACCGTAAAGGAGGAGAATTCTGAGATGAATGCCATGGTAACGGATGTAAAGAAAGTGCCAGACCATCAGCTCTTCTCATCTGAGGAAGAAGAGGAAGAAGAGGAGGAGGAGTCTGAGGATGAAAGGTCTGAGGTTGAAGTCTTACCCGGTGGAGTCGCGGCTCCTCATGGCGAACCTTCACCCCAGTTCCAGGTAGGGGTGTACATCCCTGAACTTACCTGACTCAATTTGTTTACGATTCAGTAGATCATGAAATCTCAGATTCAGTTTGATTAGTTTGCTTTGCTATGATCCAAAAATATTTTAACAATGAACTTTACTGCAGCAAGAAATCTTTAAACTCATATTTTGAATACTTTTTTTTGGTAAAATAATACATAGTTTTACAATAGTGTAAAAACACAAAATACATTGTTGGTTTTGAAATGTATGCAGTTGAAAATCTGTTATTAAATATATTATGTTATTAAATATTACTATTATTAATTCAAGTATAACATTCCAAAAAAGTGGATGCAGTTGAAATGCACATCGATGCATTTTTACACCCTTAGTTCCAGGGCATTGTGAACCTGGCGTTTGAAGACGGTGTGGAGCAGGAGAACGAGCAGCTGGAGTACCAGTCTGCTTCCGGTTTCCGCCGGTCAGTGCTGCTTTCGGTGGACGAGTGTGAGGAGCTGGGATCTGAAGAGGGGGGAACACAGACACCCCCACAACAGGAGGAAGATGCTGTCACACCATGCGACGTCTTTGAGAGCGAGTCCCATGACAGCCGGACCCACTGCGACTCCCAGAAGCCCACCAGCACGTCAAAGGGCGGCTGCAGTTCCAGTGTCCTTCAGGAGGGGGAGCCTAAATCTGTGGTTTTCCTTACAGAGGTCCAGGAGTCTCCTCAAGAAGAGCCTGTGTATAACGAGTCCCAGCCAGACACAGACGTAAATGCGGTTGCACCTCAAGAACGGCCCTGTCACCTGGACCTGCGGTTGACCGAACAGTACGGCAGCCTGCAGTCTAAACACACAGACAGCAAAAGAGCTGACTTGCGGCTAGACTTAACTGAGCCGCAGGTGACCGCTAGCTCATCACCTGCTCACCCTGCCCAGTCCCCAGCAGGTAATGTATAATATTAGAGCCACTTCCCCCAATTCCCACCAAATTCCTGCCTCAAAATCACCCATCTGCACCCACAGTCCCTGCCAAAGTGACCCAACTGTCCTTGCAAAATACAATCTTCCACTCAAATGCTCAATTTAGCACTACATGTAGAGGTTAAATCTTCCTAGAATATGCTTTTGTTTATAACCTCTAGAGTACCACATAAGCTAGAGCATTCCTGGCCCTTGTTTTGTCTTTCTTCCATTACGTCAGGATCTCTTACTTTTGGAAAATTTGACCAATCAGGTGTCAGTCACACTGACAACTTAAACTACCTTCTCACTGAGGCACTGTGCCTGAAAGACGTTTACAAATGGCAGCAATGAAAACTTACTTGCCTGCGTTAAACACGCAATATCCTAACAGTATGCTTATTGAGACCACCTGCCTAGTAGCATGAGCTACATTAGTTGTACCAGTGCACTTTGACATTAGTAAGGGATGCAATTATTTAGCATTTTTATTTTTTTATTTTCTTTTTTGTTTAATAATGAAAAACATCTATACATATAGCAAGCTCATTCCATTGAGGAAAAGACTGTTTTTTTTTGGTTGACTTTTGTTTATTTTCTGTTGTTTACTATTGTTTGTTTATGCAAAATTCAAGCGCTCTTTGACTTGGCCGTCAAATTTGGAAGTAAATATGCACAAAAAGCCCAGCAGAAGTTGAGCTCATTCGGTAACTTCCTTTGCTAACTCTGCTAGCCTGAACACCCATTCTGTAACAGTCATACATAGTTTGACTGCAATGGAAAGGGGCTCTGACCAGTGGTTTGTAAACGTATCTTTACTCAGGATCAGCATGAATGAGCTTAGCCCTGATCCTCAGACTATCTGTGTGTCTGGTTGTTAGTCAACACAAACCAGGAATTCTTGCATGCTGACTCTAGCCGTTATTGTTTTCTGTCTTTTATGAATCCCCATCAATCTTGGTTTTGTGTTTGTGTGTGTTTTATTTTTGTTACTTCATGTATTCATTTCCTTTATCTCATTTCCACTAGAGCACGGTGTTGCTAGTCAGTAGGTAACCATTTTCTTGAATTGTAGTTTTCAGTTTTATGTTGTTTGTTTTTTTTTATGTGCACTGTAGTACTTCTAGATTTTTCTGTGTATTTTTAAACAAAGGTCCTGCTATGTCTCTCTTTTTTCACACTCATGTTAAAAAGTTACAGCCACTGTTAAAAGTTTATGCATACAATTCATATTGGCATATGAATTGCCAAATGGTCAGTTATCTTTTGCCAGCATGTTTCTCATATTTGCAATAACTGTCAGTATATCAATGTATAAATAAGGTAGTCTGTAGTTAAAAAGCAAGATTTACATGTTTATGTTTCTGTATGTGATTAGGTAGCTGTAAAGAAAGAGTCACTCAGTTTTGCACGAATCTAGATTATAAAGATCTTTTGTGCCTGAGCAATGTTAAATTATACCTGCTGGCGCTGGCAAAAGCATGGCTTTTTTGTTTTGTTTGAGTAGATGTGGATAAAAGAGACACATTCAGTGTAGACTTCTTTCTGTCTATCACCTTTATGGCAGCTGTCAATCCTTATCTCCCAAAGTCCAGCCCTACTCCACTCAGGACTTTGGTATTCGACATATCTGCTTAATTGTAAGCCACTAATCATTTAATCATAAAAACATCTTGATTAAATGACAGTGGATGATAATGTAATAACTCATTTTAAATGTATTTTTGAAAATCAGTCAAATGATTAGGCTATATGTAGTGCACTCTTAAAAATAATGGACCTGCCCCCCAAGGAACCTTTCAGTGGATGGTCCTTAAAAAAAATTGTTGGACATTGTTTTTGAGCAGTGCCACAGAAGAACCACTTGTGGTTCCTTTATATTATGTGGAAGTACTTGAAGAGGTTCTTTACTCAAATTGACAAAAATGTTTTTTTAAAGACCCACCCACTGAAAAGTTTTTAGAAAACTTTGAGTGTAAATAAGATGTACAAGTGAAGGTTGAAGAGCTTCAACATAATGTAAAGGTTCTGTTTGTCCTATCTAGGATCCCTTATTTTTAAGAGTATAATGAGCTATTTTAGGCCACACTACATCATGAAGGACACAGTTGCACTAGGGGTGAAACTCTTTAGAACAGTTTGCAAATCCAGAAACACGTCAGCCGCATGTTTTAAGAAACAAATGTCTTGCTTGAAACAAAAAAGCCCCATCAACGGATAAAACCCTTGGTCATTGTGTAGTATTGTCAATTGTTTTTAGGGGACTTTGATGGTTGTGACAGATTGGATCAAAGCTGCACACATGACCGACGCTCATCTAAAGTGCTGTCCCCCATTTACGAGCTCGACGTGGGAGAGGCCTTTGAGCAAAGCTTGGATGCGGACAGGACCAACGAAGAGCAGCGAGGGAAGGAAGATGAAGAAGAGATGGAAAAAGAGAACGGGATGGAGGAGGAGGATGAAAATAGCAAGTTTGCAGAACGTGACTGGAGTCTGCTCCGGCAGCTTTTGTCTGACCAGGAGTCCAGTCTGGGCATCATAAATTCTGTCCCAGAGGATTTGAACCTGGCTCAGTATCTGATAAAACAAACCCTGTCACTGTCTCGGGACTGTGTAAATGAACAAGCCTTTCTGCCTCATGAAAAAGAAAGTTTCAAACGATGGGCGGAGCTTATTTCTCCTCTGGACGACTCTACCACCAGCATCACTGTGACCAGCTTCTCTCCTGAGGACGCTGCCTCTCCGCAGGGAGAGTGGACCATAGTGGAGCTGGAGACTCATCACTAAAACGGACAGACTGAGGGATTATATCATGCTCTTTCAGCATTTGAGGATTATCAGGTGTTTTTTGGATTGTTATGTTCTCTTCTTTCCTCTCTATGTGGATGTTCCTCATTGTTTTGGAGAAACTTTGAGACGTTTCAGCCACAGATTCTTTATGATTTTGCTTAACATTACACCCTGCCTACTGACTTGTCTTCATAGGTACTTTATCAAGGAGTGGATCGATGGACTCAATGCATTTAATTTGCATGTGGACGTTTTTTCTAACAAGTAATACTGTTTACTCGGTGTCGCTTTGATCTTTGTAGAAAACAAAAAATGCATAATTCTCAGCTTTTTCTGTCTTTAAACCATGGTTAGACAACGGTTCTGAACAGAGCAATCAGAATATGTAGTGAGTCTGGTGGTTTACATTTATTGTTGTGCTTAATAAAGTGTGTGCTTATAGTTGTGTTTTAAGTCTGGTATAATTGATGCTGTGTGAGTGTTGCCAAATTGGGCCATTTTTCCACCCAACTGTATGCTTTGCATGTTTTTTTGTTTGTTTTTTAAACTTCTAAGCAAAATGGCCTTGGACTGGTTGTTATAACTTGGTGCTATATATAAAAATAACCAATACGATGTCAGACTTGTTATGACAGAAGAACCCTTTCTGGTGCTATATAAAACCCTTTTCGAAAGGGTTCTTTAAAGAACCATCTACAGCACAATCTCCAAAGAACTTCTGCAAAGAACTCTAATCATGCAACAGGTTCTTTGAGTGTTCGTGGTTCAGTGTAGAACCATTTTCTTTACTAAAGAATCCTTAAGAACCGTTTTTAAGCGTGTTACGCTTACAATGAATTTGTCTTGAGTTCAAACATTTATGACATATATAGAACAGAGCAGACAAGCACAGAGACTATTAACAGGTGTTTATTTAAGGGACAAATAAAATAAAAGCAGAACAAAGAATAAGAGAATTTAAATCTGAATTGCTTACAGACATGCATAGATATGTTATCTGAGAGGGGCTGTGGGCTGAACTGGCTTTGTGCTTCTCTGTGTTCAGTGTCTCCAGCTCCCTCCATTTCTCCTTCTGTCTCTGCTCTACGTGCCGTGAGAAACAGAGGTTAGCCTGCTCACACTGTCTGCTCAGACAGACACAACTGTCTGTACTGGAAACAGTGTCACTGGAACAGAGGGGAATGTGTCAGAATGGTTGTATACAGCATACACGAAAAATAGTACATATTACTTCAACTCTTCGTTTCATTGGCAAAAACAAAGTTGTCCCTTTTCCAGACTGGAAACTTTACTCTGTTCTGTGGTTTCACCAGGTGATCTTGTCAAAATCAACACTGCTAGAGGTTCCTGAAATTCTTCCACAAAAGTTACATCAAATCATACATATGGTTAGATATGGTCACTTTTCCCAGTGCTTTCCCAAAGCTGTTATGTCTGGCAATCAAAGCGTTAAAAGTTAAGAATGTTCGATTTTTCATTTCAATATTCTTTTCATTTTTTTCCCACACTTACAGGAGTTGCTGACTTTTGAGTTACATACATACATCGCTAAAATGTGCACAGCATCGCCCTGAGATAAGCAACAGGCGGCGCTGCTTACACTATTAAATAACACCCTCAAAACCACCTGACGCCACCAACAAGAGGCTAACATAAATGATGGAATAAAGCAGGAACGCATTTATTGAAACATGATGGGTGCCACAAAAATATTTACCTAATAACGGGTGAAATAACAGCATTTTATGTGAGGTTCAGCTGTGTCTGATTTCAGCTGAAATGAGAGACCTTTACATTAAAATGTGCTCAAGTATGTTCTGATGCTGTTGAAGGAGATGGAGCAGGTGGGGGTGAGGTTGATAAGTGTCCTGTGAGCAGCATCCTTTGACCAGTTCTATGCTGAGAATTATCCACCACCCAGTGAATACCTGTTGTATGTCGGTCCTGACCATTGAAGAACAGAGTGAAAAGGGGCTAACAAATTGTGCAGAGAAACGGATGAATTACAATCTGTAATTGCACAGCTACAAAGTGCTATATGATAAACATACTTGACAAAAATGGACAAGGAGTGTAGATACAAGGTAGGTGTGCTTAACCAAGTGGCCGGTCGGCATGTAGTGGAACTAAAGTGCATTCCCCACAGCAACAATAGCAACAATAAGAATCTACAACTGCACCTGTGTAATGAAAACCACAGTCTTTAATTAGGAATACTAAATAAACACTCTACAGTGTAGCAAAATGCAAAAATACTGAGCATGTTTATATACTTTTACTCAAAACAATCATTCAAAGTTCTACCTCACTGTTATGCTCATTCCATTTTTTTTTTTCATAAAGAAATAACAAAAGACTAATTATGACATGATTTATTTGAAACAAAGATGCTGAAAAATTAATGTTGGAAGAGTGATCCCTGCGGATAGCACACTGTGGTGTAATGATGAGCATTCTGGACTCCGAATCCAGCAATTGGAGTTCAGATGTCGGTGGGACTGTTGTGTCTTTTTTAGAGACGCAATCAAGTAGTCCTAAGAAGCTGTCTCTCACTTTCTGATTCGCAGAGGTCCAAAATCAATTTGCCAACCTTGTTGGCTTGCATTTGTTTTTAGGTAAATGGTGTATAATTGCATTTTGTGAAAAACCACTCTGTGAATATTCTTGCCATTGTCAAGAATGTTGTTTGCTATAGTAGCTTACATGAGTTGGTCACTGCAACGGAGGCAATAGTAACAATGCAAAAGTGGAGCTGAGCAGACAGCTTTTAACCCAAATCCAAGTCCCTGACAAGCTAACAAAAAGTAAACTTTTCATGCCAATCACAAAAGACTTAATTCTCCTGATAGTTCTGACATTTGCAGTCATGCACGTTCAACAACAAAGGTGATAGACAACTGAATGTATTTATGGCTGGAATAATGTCGTCACAATAGTGTGTTTAAACTTGTGTCAGCCTATACTGCGTCCTAATAGAGTGATGAAATTCTTTAAACAGCTAATACAACCAGTGGCTCTATGGGGCAGGGAACCCTTGGGCTTAACTGATCTATGAAGCTAAGCAAGGCTGGTCCTGGTCAGTGCTCAGATGGGAGACCATACTGCCTTGCCAGGAGTCAAAAGCTTTTCCACCAAAACATCTATCTTGAAACTAAACTTTGGATAGAGTGCAAAGTAGTTTATATTCTGGGACTAATCAAGTCAAGTCAAGTCAGGCTTTGTCATTTCAGCTATATACATGTACACAGTGAAATGAAACAACATTCATCCAGGACCATGGTGCAACACAGCGTATTATATTTAAATATAGTGTTTCAAACTGCAGGAAGTGGGGAGGGAGTTAGTCTCATATTGTTACGTGTGTGTGTGTGTGTGTGTGTGTGTGTGTGTGTGTGTGTGTGTGTGTGTGTGTGTGTGTGCGCGCGCGCGTGTCCATGTGGGTGTCCTTCAATTCAGTCCGTGGGAGTTGAGGAATCTGATGGCTTGAAAGAAACTGTTGCACTGAGGGCCCGAATGCTGCAATACCTTCTTCCAGATGGCAGAAGTGGGAACATGTGTGTGGGGTCAGTCACAATGCTTTTCAGATGCATCGTGTGATGTAAATGTCTGAAATGTCTGATGGAGGTAAGAGAGACCCCAATGATCTTTTCAGCTGTCCTCACTATTCTCTGGAGGGCTTACGGTCAGAGGCAGTGCAATTCCCAAACCTGGCAATAATGCAGCTGCTCAGGATGCTCTCTATAGTGCCTCTGTAGAAGGTGGTAAGGATGGTGGGTGGGAGCTGAGCTTTCCTTAACATCCACAGGAAAGAGAGATGCTGATGGGCTTTCTAGGTTATGAAACTGGTGTTCAGGGTCCAGGTGAGGTTCTCCGCTAGGTGAATACCAAGGAACTTGGTGCTCGCAACAGTCTCCACAGGGGAGTTGTTGATGGTAAGCGGAGAGTGGTCACTCTGCTCTTCTGAGATCAACAACCATCTCTTTTGTCTTGCCCACATTCAGATGTACGTTGTTGGACTTTACACCAGTCTGTCAGTTGCCGCACCTCCTCTCTGTATGCTGACTTGTCGCTCTTGTTGATGAGACCAACCACAGTAGCGCAATCAGCAAACTTTATGATGTGGTTGGAACTATGAGCTGCTCCACAGTCGTGAGTCAGCAAAGTGAACAGCAGTGGACTGAGCACACTGCCCTGGGGGGCTCCAGTGCTCAGTGTAATGGTTTTAGAGATGCTGCTCCTGATCCAGACTGACTGAGGTCTCTCAGTGAGAAAGTCCAGGGTCCAACTGCAGAGGGAAGAGTTCAGGCCCAGCAGGCTCAGCTTTCCAATTAGATGCTGAGGGATGATTGTGTTGAATGCTGAAGTCTATAAACAGCATTCTAACATAAGTGTCCTTTTTCTCAAGATGAATGAGGGTCAGATGAAGAGTGGTGGCTATGGCATCATCTGTAGAGCGGTTGGAGCGATATGTGATCTGCAGAGGGTCCAGTGAAGGAACTGGGTCTTGATGTGCCTCATTATGAGCCTTTCGAAGCACTTCATTATGCGTGTGAGTGCAACGGGACGATAGTCATTGAGGCAAGACACTGGAGATTTCTTTGGCACTGAAGCATGCTGGAACAACGGCGCTGCTTGGCGAGATGTTAAGGATGTCCGTAAGAACTCCCACTAGCTGAGCTGCACATTCCCTGAGCACTCTGCCAGGATTTTTGTCTGGTCCAGCAGCCTTGTGTGGGTTAAATGTGTGATGGAATGTGGGCCGTCTTTTTCATCTACATGCCTTGATCTTCAGCTGTGAAGCAAAAAGATACACACTGCGACAGTTTACATTTTACTGAAATGCACTTTAAAACCATTAACAAAAAGGAACAGTTCATTGTTAGTTGCATAAAAATAAACATACCTATAGAGCCCACTATCAAAGTCAGAGAGAATTGTGGGCTCCTCTGATGTTGAGGTCCCTCAAAGAAACGACCCTCAATTCCTGCCACCATTTCTCTACACAGAAGTACAAACAGTAGTACTTTATTACTGTGGCCTTCTAATCTGTGATAGCACAGAAATGACCTATTAGACTATTACTTTAGACCAGAATTGTTTAATTGGAAGTTCAACCAAAATATAAATGTAAAAATTGTCTGAGCATTTTTCTAGTTAGTCATGCAAACAGTTTTAGTAGGGGTTGTCCAATTTGGGTTGTTGAGACTGGCACTCCTCTAAATTAATGGGGTTAGTCAAACTTTCAATGTACATTATGGAAAAATTAATACACAACTAATAACAACACTCTGTGATGGAGGTTCTTTGACAAATAGGTTATATGACGGATAAAAGCGTAAAATTCCTTCATGAATTTTGGATTCACTGCCCTTTTAACAAAAGTATGACAGATATCATTTATAAGCTGAAATTTAAAACTGTTCCAATGGACTCTGATAGAA